CAGTACAGTATGAAATGAAAGAAGCTCGGTTGTTTGGCTAAGCCGCTTTGTTTCGCGCAGGATTCATTGCGGCGGACATTAAAGGCACAGGCTCGTGGACGCAGCTCTACCTGATCACCGACTATCACGAGAGTGGCTCGCTGTACGACTACCTCAAGTCCACCACGCTGGATACCAAGGCCATGCTTCGGCTGGCCTACTCGTCCGTGTCGGGCCTGTGCCACCTCCACACGGAGATCTTCGGTACGCAGGGGAAGCCCGCCATCGCTCACAGGGACCTGAAGAGCAAGAACATCCTGGTCAAGAGGAATGGCACGTGTTGCGTCGCCGACCTGGGTCTCGCCGTCAAGTTCATCAGGTGCGTGGGGTTACATGCTTGCCAAATTGTGTCAGAAGTTGGCTGACTTTGGCTTGCTTGGTTAGTGTTGACGTGTTTTTAAGCCAACGTGTCTGGGTGGCGGCACGTTGATCGACTGCTTAACACGTCCGTCTCACAGTACAGAGGTCGTGGGTTCAAATCCGGCCCCAGCCTTCCTGTTTGGAGTTTGCATATTCTTCCTGTGCCTGCGTGGGTTTTCTCTGGGTACTTTGGTTTCCTCCCACATTCTAAAAACATGCATGGTAGGTTAAGTGACCGCTCTATCTTGTCCCTAGGTCTAACTGTGAGTGTGAATGCTTGTTTGTCTCTGTGTGCCATGCGATTGGCTGCCAACCAGAGGGAACCTCGCCGACTACCCGAAGACAGCGGGATAGGCTCCAGCACCCCCCGCTTGCAAGCATAAGCAGTTCAGATAATGAATGGATAATGTTTCTGTATCCCTGCAGCGACACCAACGAGGTGGACATCCCCCCCAACACTCGCGTGGGCACCAAGCGCTACATGCCCCCCGAGGTTCTGGATGAGACCCTGAACAGGACTCACTTCCAATCGTACATCTTGGCCGACATGTACAGTTTCGGACTCATCCTGTGGGAAATCGCCCGCCGTTGCGTGTCAGGAGGTATGGCACCCATTTTGTGTACAGTGACCAAAAAAAGGTTAAAAATCAGGTCAACTTAATAAGTTCAAATCAAGGTGAAAATGGTCACAGGTGAATGGTGGCATCGCATCCCACTTTTGACACCATTTTACCCCCCACCTCTTTTGGGATCTTTTCCTATGAGGTTGCAAAACCTGTCCACTGCTGGTATCCCAAACTTATTGATCAATCCTTCCTAACCCAACACTGTTTTTCCTCATGTGGGGGGGAAGGCATTCTGGAGGAGTACCAGCTGCCCTACCACGACCTGGTCCCAAGCGACCCATCATATGAGGACATGCGAGAGGTGGTCTGCATCAAGAGGCTCAGGCCCTCCTTCCCCAATCGATGGACCAGCGATAAGGTGAAAACTCACATAACAGCCTCCCAGCATTGCACGTGTGGCGTCACGTGACCGTTGTGCGTTTTCCCGCAGTGTTTGCATCAGATGGGAAAGCTGATGAGCGAGTGTTGGGCTCATAATCCGGCCTGTCGCCTCACGGCTCTGCGGGTGAAAAAGACGCTGGCCAAGATGTCCGAATCGCAAGATATCAAGTTGTGAGGGGTTGCGCTCGCTTCACTCAGACGCGTGCGTATGTAGCGTACGTGCGTGTTCAACGGGGTGCTTTCTGTGAAAGCTCATTTCGCTTGTAGTAGAAAGGAGGAGAAGGAGAAGCGTGCCCGGGTTCCCTTAAAAATGGACAGTGAGGAACACGGGCTGGCACTATGTGACAAAGTGTACTGTGAGGCTTTAAGACATTTTTCTTCATGCTGGTTACATTTGTAGAGCGTACAAATGTGTTGTGTTCTCCTAGTCATGGCTCGCGTATTTTCCATGTCAAACCTATCATTAAAAGTATTGGTTAGAATTGAGCTGATTCTGATGTTCATTGGTGACTTGTCGTGGGTCCTTAACTGAGAAGACGGTTGTCAGCAATTTAAAAAAAAAAAAAAACATTCCAGGAAAAAAAAAAGCCGCAACTCGACTGGTCGCACATGCCCGGGTAAAATGAAAAATGTACTTCCATCGTCTTAAATTTTTGAGGTAGTTTGGAGTAGGGTTTCAAGGTGGGGTTTGAGTCTCAAAATAGGGTTTAGAATTCAAAGTGGGCTTTGGTTTTAAAAGAAGTTTTTAAAATTAGGGTTAGGGTTTCAAACAGGCTTTCATGTGACATGTCATAAAAAATATCAAAAGAATACAGACATAAAAAGAATGAAATGAATGAAATCATCTTTTTGTCTTTAGAAATATTGTTTTTAAAGAAGCAAAAATTAAATTATGCTGCTGCCGCTGCTGCTGCTGCTGCTGCTGCTGATGATGATGATGGCTGAGGTGAAGTCTCGTGTGCATTCCTGAGGTTTGCTGTCATCACGCATGAGGACAGTTTGAAGTCTTTTTGTCCGAGTGACTTTCTGAAAATGTCAATCAGAAGTCAGCTTTATTCTTGAAGAACACGTTTGTGTTCCTCATCAAATCAGCCGCTCGTGCCTTTCGAGATTGGAATCGTTCTCACGTCGACGATTTAGTTCGGCGAAGAGGAATGTCGATAGTGAGAAAGTCCTCGGCCAGAATGACTTCCACATCGGCGTCGCGCAGAACTTCTTCGGCCTGAAGTCGGAGCTCCGAGACGTCGTCGTCTCCGTCGCCGCGCAGTTTTTCAGGTTTGTACCTTTGGCTGAAATGATACAAGACCAACCTCCGAGCCCCGCAGGCTCGCGCCAATGTCGCCGCCATCCTGGGCGTACTGTGCCCGTGCTCCACCGCCTTGTCCCGATGCGCTTCCCCCAGGGTGGCCTCGTGGACCAGCAGGTCGGCCCCCTGGCAGATGGCGAGACCGCCGCCCGGCACAGAGCTGCAGTCCCCCAGGATGCAAACTTTCCTCCCGGGGATGTTCTCTTCCACAACCTCATCTGGTAAAATGACTCGCCCGTTTTCCAGTTGAACCCGGTGACCCGCTTTGAGGCGTCCATACAGAGGACCCGGCTTCAGGCCTGAGGAGCACAACCCGCTAAATGTTTTCAACTAGTGGAACGTGAGCAATGGATCATGAATACATTTGCTACAGTTTTTGTGTTGCTGGGTTGGGTCGGTTTTAGTTTTCATGAAGGGGCTCTGAAGGCCACGCTGCATTTTGAAAAAATATTCAAGAATACTTTTTTTTTTGCAATTTGACACATAGCTCTGGAAAACACGGAGACCAGTGCGAAATGGTTAGCAGAAAATTCTTTTCTCTGACTTTGCTGTTTTATGGGCATAATTGACCCCCACTATCCACGAGCCAACCTGTGAATTGGGAAAATCTGCGTCTCAGTGACACCCACTGAAATGCAAATTCATACAAATACACACTCACAAACGTCAAATTACGCCAAAAAGACGCAGCAGCAGCAGCATACCGAGTTGTTGGAGTCGTTCTGTCTTGAGCCTTCCAGGTCGGTCGCGTTCGTGGACGCAGAATCCGAAAGAGGGAACGCGGTGGAACAACCTGAAGGCTTTCACCACAAACTTGTCATCTTCAAACAGCAAGTAAGCGTCGGACGAGACGTCCAATGAGATATTTCTGCCTGGATGCTCCTGAGGGAGCGGCGGACCGCGCTCTGTGGTCATCTACGCACAAAGAACACATTTCAATGCCCAGTGCACACTGTCTCAACCGGAAATATGAACTTGAAACTTGAAAAACCAAGGAGCACAAACCTCAAGACTGAGCTGACCCTCCTCTGGACTTTGGTCTTGTGTGGGCTCCAGTTCATGAACTGCATCCGCAGAGCAACAATTGAGAAAATGATAATGATTGATCGTGGACAGAAAGTCAATTTTGTCGCATGCTCACCGGCGTAAGGGAAGAGCAACTGCGAGCCGGTCAGGCCCAGCGTCACCCGCAAGAAATGGCGGAGGCCGCGGGGCCCGAACACGTCCACGCATTTGACGCCAGGCTGGGGGTCGGAGGTCAAGTTGAGACTGATGGTACAGAGGAGGCCCGGAAGACCGAACAGATGGTCGCCGTGAAGGTGAGAGATGAAGACCTTGCTGATGCGACCTAAGACACGCATATTAAATGAGTGCGCTACACCACATATTAGTGATACGTCATATTTGTGCCAAAGCAATAAAAGTCTTACATTTGCATTATGTTTGCCACAACATTGTGTTGTTCTTTGTCGCTTTGATTTAGTGAGAATGTTTTTCCATGCGTGTTTTGGATTTTCAGTTTGACTGGCCATCTTTGAATACTCCCGGTGCGAGGCAACAGTCTTAAGTGGGAAGAGGAAGTTCATTATTGCTTCTCTCTGGAAATAGGCGTGGTACCATGAACCTTCTTTTTGCAAGTGTAAATCATTTTACAATGACGACCGAATTAACTAAATGTGTTGTATATTTTATTTATTTGTGATTAATTATATAAATTATTTGCTCAAATGAGAGCTTGTGTACACGTTTCACCACATCTGAAATGCCACCACATTTTGAGCGGCCCCTTCATCAAGACTTTTTTTTTTAATTGGACGAAAAGGTCAACATGTCATCGTTCAGAAGCCTTTTATTTTGAAATGGAACATCAGATGTGAATGCCAATCCTGTGGTTGGATACCTGGGGCGCCCTCGTGTGTAGAAAACCTGGTGTGGTTGCGGGATGACCACGATTCATTTTTTAATGATTTTTAAAAAAATATCAGGTGAAATTGTAGTCAGTGATGTAGAGTTACCAAAAAATGTATTTTCCATCTCAACTTCAGAACGCTTCTTGGCGCTATTCTGAAAGAGCCAAGAAATTATTTCAACACTAACGTGAATGTATTAGTTGAGGCACTTTTATTTTGAAGGTGGCCATCACCGCTCGCTGGCTGCACATTACTGTAATGCAGAGTATTAACAATCCCGGTGGCGGCTGGCTTGGCTTCAGTTTTGCGAGTGAAGGCCAGACTGACCGCAGTACTCACCGGCTCGTATGTGGCTCTTCATCAGCTGAGTCTGCGTCCCTTCCCCGCAGTCAAACAACCAACAGTCGCCCTCGCTGCGGAGCACCAAAGCCGAGGCGCCGCGGTGAAGGGACGGGTACGCCGAGCCCGTCCCCAAAAAAGTCACGTCCATGGTCATGACCGCTTAACGCAGCAGCCGCACGTCCTTTTCAGTCGCCTAAAAAGCGGCCGTTGCTTGTTTACTTTCTTGTTGAACGCCAACTCGTGATGGGATCTTCGGCTCTTTTCGGTGATCCGGTTCATTTGGATCCGGCTCAGTGAAAAGAGCCGGCACTTTTTGGCTCTCAAACGGCTCTTTTAACTTTAGCTTTTCTTTTAAATATTTATGACAAATTTAGCATACATTTTGATAAATGACTTGTTGAACTAAGTATTGTAAAAACGTTGTATAGTCAGGCGTTTTGAGCCGAAAAAAACGACCATGTATAGTTAGGCGTTTTTAGATGAAAAAAACGACCATGTATAGTCAGGCGTTTTTTGACGAAAAAAACGACCATGTATAGTAAGGCATTTTTAGCCGAAAAAAACGACCATGTATAGGAAGGCGTTTTAGCCGAAAAAAACGACCATGTATTGTAAGGCGTTTTTAGACGAAAAAAACGACCATGTATAGTAAGGCATTTTTAGCCGAAAAAAACGACCATGTATAGGAAGGCGTTTTAGCCGAAAAAAACGACCATGTATTGTAAGGCGTTTTTAGACGAAAAAAACGACCATGTATAGTAAGGCATTTTTAGCCGAAAAAAACGACCATGTATAGGAAGGCGTTTTAGCCGAAAAAAACGACCATGTATTGTAAGGCGTTTTTAGACGAAAAAAACGACCATGTATAGTAAGGCATTTTTAGCCGAAAAAAACGACCATGTATAGGAAGGCGTTTTAGCCGAAAAAAACGACCATGTATTGTAAGGCGTTTTTAGACGAAAAAAACGACCATGTATAGTAAGGCATTTTTAGCCGAAAAAAACGACCATGTATAGGAAGGCGTTTTAGCCGAAAAAAACGACCATGTATTGTAAGGCGTTTTTAGACGAAAAAAACGACCATGTATAGTAAGGCATTTTTAGCCGAAAAAAACGACCATGTATAGGAAGGCGTTTTAGCCGAAAAAAACGACCATGTATTGTAAGGCGTTTTTAGACGAAAAAAACGACCATGTATAGTAAGGCATTTTTAGCCGAAAAAAACGACCATGTATAGGAAGGCGTTTTAGCCGAAAAAAACGACCATGTATTGTAAGGCGTTTTTAGACGAAAAAAACGACCATGTATAGTAAGGCCTTTTGAGCCGAAAAAAACGACCATGTATAGTTCGGCATTTTTAGACGATAAAAACGACCATGGATAGTAAGGCGTTTCAACCCGAAAAAAACGACCATTTATAGTTAGGCGTTTTTTGACGAAAAAAACGACCATGTATACTAAGGCGTTTTTTAGCCGAAAGAGAGAGAGAGAGAGAGAGAGAGAGAGAGAGAGAGAGAGAGAGAGAGAGAGAGGGGGGGGGAGAAGGAAAATGACAGAGCTGGGTCTGGAGGGAGGGTACCGGCTCTCATCGTTCACTTCAAACAGCCGGCTCTTTGTACCGGATCGTTCGCGACCGACACATCACTAACGCCAACATTCGTCTTGTAAAGATGACGTCATACACCGACGATGATGTTGCGTCTGAGACTGGTCTCAGAACCGCAAATAGTGCAGCGCCCATCCATTGTCGAATCCGCATATCCTCACCGCTGTACCGCGAGACCGACGTGCTTACCAGTTGCTCACCCTGCCGCCGGAGTAAAAAGTCTGGATTGAAAATCAGACACAGAAGTCTTCATTTTCAACATTTTAATGACTTCTTTGTTAAGCAGCGCTAACAGAGTTCTCTTCAAACAGAGGGTAAGGCAATTTTGTGATACGACAAATAAATACGTAAACTAATACACAGTGACAACAAAGACCAACACTTCATGGAGGTTTTCTTGAAATAAATTAACTTTAAACAAGACTACATGCAGTATGACAATAAAAGCTGCATTCTGAATCCAACATTTAATACAAGACAAACTTGACAACTTGCTCCGTTAAATGGTTAGCAGTCATTCGCTTCAGCGTGGATGGGTACAATTGATTCCAATGTTAAACAATTTAACTGTCCTAAACACCAAGCTATGATCAAAGTAGGTTTATGTTTACCTGATTGCCATGAGGTTTTCTTGTATCCAGTGTGTGAGGTCGCAATGAAAAAAATCATCAAGACCTTTGTGTGAATAATACATGAATAAAAATATGAACACGTACTACAAGAAATTAGAAAAATAGACCTACAAAACATGTCATATTTCACTCTTTTTTTCCCCCTCATTCGCTCATGTAGATTTAGCAAAAATGACTGGTATGCGCTGTAAAAATTTGCAAAGTACAGAAAATATATCAGGCTACCATGTAGGTATTTTACATGCGCAAACAGGTTAGATTAGACATTATCTGTACTTCAGTCTGCATGACACAATTAGAAATACTTTTTCAAAGCATATAAGTGAGAGGAAAATGGACACTCAAAATAAAAGGTGTGCAATTCAACAGTTTTCCCAGCAGGATGGCGAGTGAATGCTTGTGTACTTTTAAAGGAGATTAAATCCATGAATAAAAATGAATCATTTCAATTGTCAGTTTCCTGTGAGCACCACAACAATATACACACACACACACGCATTCACACAAATCACCAACAACTTGCATTGTGCAAATCGGAAAAGGATCATATCGCATCTGCAATCCTGACCTAAGATTTAAAGCCCTACTTTCCCAAATGTGACATGAGTTTAACACCACAGTCCTTAGAGCAACAGCACTTAAAAAGTTGCCTTCGTAGGCCCTCACTTGGAAAAGCATGGCTTCATACGATGCTTCTTTTGCACAGAAATGTCAGGGGAGAGTAATAATGATGGGAAGTCATTGAAAGCGGTGCTCTAAACAATATACAACAGCAAATACCATTAAGCAACAAAAACAAAGCATGGACATACATGGATGTTGCGTCAGCTGGATGATGCAGACATGATTTTTTTCTACGTGGAGTGCTTTTTGAAAAAAAAAATCGATTTAGCTTTTTTACATTATTATTGCACATTAATGTGCAAAGAACGACATAATTTTACCTAATACAGTATTGTCATGAATATTTATTTGCTATAAAGTTCGGAATAACTGAAGTTTGGTACAGACGTAATTTTGACTGTCGAACGTCTGTTAAGATTTGTTGTTCCTTCTCCACTGCGCTCGAAAAATGATGAGTTGAAATCATAAATGTTAAACTTGTTTGTTGCTTACGGTCGCAAATCCTTTTGTGTTGGTCATCTCAAGTACACCATATACAGTACTACAGCAATTTTTTTTCTCATCCTGTGAAGTGTCTGCTCGATTTTAGAAATCGACTACTCTGTTAAGGATGTGTGTGCCCTGATTAATCTTAATTCATGAGTTCAATTCATTGTTGGATCAGCTTGTGCATCTTGAAGCTTTCAGCACTTCAACTATAGAGTCGGATGCCCTTTTGCACCACTAGAGGGTGCAAGTGTTAAATGTATTGGCTACAAAGGCAAGAGAGAACAGTGGCGATACCAAAGTAAAATACCCGTGCTGGCACATGGCAGCTGTAACTTAACATAATACGTGCTCAGTTGTCCTCTGCAGTGTGATTGTAATGAATTAGGTGCACAAGGTCACTAAAGGAGGAGTGAGTGTACTACGAGTTACTCGAATCGGGGCTGAAGCTGACCCCAGGCCAGTTGTAGGTGTCGGGCAGGAAGGAGTCATAGTTGGTGTTCCACACGGTGGCGTGCACAAAGGCATTCTTGTCCACTGGCTCTGGGTAGCGAAACGCCATGCCTTTGGCATACACATATTCCACCACCTGCGGGGGGACACGGACACACGGACACACACACACACACACACACACACACACACACACACACACACACACACACACACACACACGGTCAAAAGCACATCGCTGATGCCATTGGCTGATGTGAGATGAAAAATATGTCATATTAAGTCTATTATAAGAAGAAAATGTATGACTAATACGATAATAAAAATATATGAGATAACACTGTGCTGTCATGAGAAAAATTGCAAGAGTAAAAAAATCATATTAGGAAGAAAATGTAATACGAAAACAATAATCATAACACAGAGAGCGAGAGAGAGAGAGAGAGAGAGAGAGAGGAAAAACATGAACCATTTTACTGCACTGCAGCTGCAAGATTTGTGAATTGATGAGCCAGTGGAGGGCTGTGAGCAGAACAAGTTTGCGTCTAAATTCAAGGGACGCTTTTTTACTTGAGACGAGTCGCGGTACCATTATACATGAATAAAAAGGTCATGCGTTGACAAAAAATAAAATAAATCGCTGTTGAGAAAATATGTCTTTGTCTTGCCTTGACAGCCATCTGCAGAGACACTTCTCGGATGTTGGACAGAGGCGGGTACAGTCGGCCTTCTTGCAGCTCTTTGTCAGTCAGCTGGTCTGCCAGCGTCTGCAGGAAGAAGAAGGGTGCAACTTACTGCATGTGAACCACAACTCGTAGACAAACTGGTGACCATCGAATTTTGTATTTCATGACAAAATGCAGTTTGACAATCAATCGCTTTTTCAAAGGCCAACTCCATTCTCAGGTTGTTGTCATATTTTGTGTTTTAGTAGAGTTTGAGAAACAGGAAGGTATATTCGGGCCACAATTTAAAAGACAAATGTTACCGGAACAAAGTAGAAATGCCTTCATGTGAGGAGGGAACTAAAAAAAAAAAACCATTGCGTTACGAGATAAAATAACGAGGAAAAAAACAGAGGCATACAAGACACAAATCAAATTAATACAAGGGGCGAAAAAAAAAGTATGAACGAACCTTGGCAGCCTCCAAGAACACCGTGTCATTGATGTGGCGCACTCCGCTCAGGATGACAGCCAGAGCCACACCTGTCACACACAAAACCAAGAGTCGACCTCGTCAACTCGACTGCTTGTGAAAAGTCAAGAGCATCTCCTTTGTGTTGCTCACCTGGAAAGATGTAAGCGTTGTTGCCTTGTCCGGGAGTGAAGACTCGTCCATCACTCAGAGTCACGGGACCAAACGGGCTCCCGCTGGCAAAAAGACATCTACCCTGTGTGAGTATGTTGAGTTATTAGAAGGCAAAGAAATTCATATCGTGCGAAGCCCCACTACTTGAGGGGGTTGCAAACAGCGAAGATTTGCATGTAATTGCCTGTGGATGCCACAAGATGGCGGCAAAGCACGTTTTTTTTCTATTGAACAAAGTGCAATAAAACCACGAATGGCTTCGTGTTTTCAGCAAAGGTTCCCCAAAACAAAATCCAAGAAGACGCAAATTCTAAAAGTCTGAACTGCGAATATGCGAGGGGTTCACTGTAGTGTTCATATCATTTGCAAAAGCATAAATTGCGTACATCCGTCAGGGTGTAGGCGTCCTCTGCGGTGCACTCTGCTTTGGCAGTGGGGTTGCTCAGGGCGAAGATGATGGGCCGCTCATTCATGGCGCCCATGGCCTTGATGACATCATGGCTGAACAGTCGACCGGCTCCCGCCACACCTGCCGGTGGGTGAGGTGAAGGTTTAAAAAATACCTACCTTTAAGTAATTAACAGGAAGTTTTATTTTTAAATACTCTCACATATTTTTGTGGGAATTTTTTGGCGGAGTTAAGCATGACGTGGTCTCACCAATGATAGCCGTCGGTCTGATGGTGTTGACGGCATCCAAAAAGCTGTGAACGTCACCAGGACTCTCATGAACAAATGCTTCCTGGTTGCCGTCCGTTGCTTGCAACCTTCCCTGAAGAAGCAAACAGCCCAGCCACTCAGTCACAATGACGCAATGGTGAAGACGTTAACATCATTGAGCCAGACAGGAAGCGACGCAGACAGATTCTTCGCATCCTGATTGCATCTGCTGACCTTTACGAGTAAGCCGTCTTTGTCGAACATCCAGATCCTATCCCTGGCGTCCGCCTGCGACATGCCCGACTCCATCATGGCCATGACAATTAGGTTTGCGATGCCGAGAGCAGCCTATGGACATGACATGAGGTATAAAATTACAACATTCATTTCAATTATTAAAAAGAAAAAAATAGACTGGGGAACCACCAGTTTACCTCTCCGGCTCCGAGGAAAAGCACTCGATGTTTTGTGATGGGCTTCCCAGTGGCTCTCTGAGCTGCAAGCAGACCAGCAAGGGCCACAGCTGCAGTGCCTGCAGTGAGAAAAATAACATGCAGAAAATTATGAATATATATTAATTGTATAACTAGTGTGAGTAGTGCATCAACCATGCCTCCTCGTCTAGTGGGCCAAAAGGTCTTACTTTTGGAACCCAAAATGCACGTAAGGTGAATGCATTTAAGTCCTCTATCTGTACAAAACATTTTAATATGAATGCAAAATAATATCCATCCATCCATTTTCTAATCCGCTTATCCTCAAGAGGGTCGCGGGTGTGCTGGAGCCTATCCCAGCCGTCTTCGGGCAGTAGGCGGGGGACACCCTGAACCGGTTGCCAGCCAACTGCAGGGCACACAGAGACGAACAACCATTTGCATTCACACTCCCACCTTGGGACAATTTTGAGTGTTCGATTAACCTGCCATGCATGTTTTTGGTATGTGGGAGGAAACTGGAGTACAGGAAGGCCAGAGCCAGAATCGAAACCGGCACCTCTGCACTGTGAGGCGGACGCGCTATTATTATTTTGGGGGGACCACCGTGTGGCCCCAAAATAATATTTAAAAAAATTGCTCAATATTGAAAAGGCACTTTTCTCTTTACACTCAACAGTAAACTTCAGCCTTGCAGATGTTTGCTCTTGCTACAGAGCATGGTAAAATCTGGCATACCTGCCACATAGTTGAATTGCCTGTTTCCTGCCGCAAGGGGTTAAAAAAAAATAGGTTGTGTCATGAATAATGCCAGCTGGCTGGTTTGAACATCTTTAAAAGCCTCAAGAAACTTCTGAATGTACTGCAGGCAGTAAACTCCAGTCCCCGTTGATGAAATAAATCTGACCTATTATCATTACAGTTTATTCTTTTAATTGAGGTCAAGTGTGATTCAAGTGGACGCCACACCCGACCAGGATGACACTATTGGAGGAACTACAGTGTCCTATTTCGAGCTTAATGATTGAACCTTGGATGTCATCATTGAAGGTGCAGTACTTCTCCCTGTACTTCCTGAGGAAGCGAAAGGCGTTGTGGTTCCCAAAATCTTCAAACTGGATCAGCGTGTCCTGCCCATATTTGTCCACCACGGCCTCCATGAACTCATCGATGAGGTCATCGTAAGCCTGAGAACGGTCTCTCCTCTGGTACAGGCCCATGTAGAGCGGATCCTTGAGGAGAGTCTGATTTGGTAGGCAAGAGCAGGCATGGAGGGAGTGATTCCATTTGATGGGTTTGGTATATTAAACAGTATCTTCTCACCTCGTTGTTTGTGCCGACGTCAATCACGACGGGCAGGCACCTTTCAGGTCTGATGCCGGCGCATGCCGTGTACAGGCAGAGTTTGCCAACAGGGATTCCCATGCCATAAACGCCCAGGTCCCCCAGGCCTAAAATACGCTCGCCATCAGTCACGACGACTGCCTGGAAGAGGCAAGCCTTAGTTGACGTGTATCTGTATGACAACGTTCAATCTTCGGAGACTTTCTAGAAGCGTTAGAAGAGGACACTCACGGCCACATTGGTCTCTGGCCAGTTGTCCAAAATCGAGCGGATGTGTCCTCTATCCAGAATGGAGATGAACAAGCCCCTATGAGACAAACAATTAGACTTTGGTTCATTTGTTGCTCATCTTCACGAGGTATATGCCGGGGTATTTGGATTCGGGGGTGGCGGCGGCTTCACTTTTGTGCTAAAGGTCCACAATTTGATTTGAAAATAGAATGATGAGCCAGGTCATTCCTGGACGAGGTTTTAAAAAAAAATAAAGCTAAAACATGTCTGGAAAATGTGCAAAATAGTTAATTTAGATCATTAAAAATAATTAATCAATGCTTCAATGTAATTTCTTTTTATTTATTATTTTAATACTCCAACTAACCAATGAATTGATGCATGAAAAATGAATTGATTAAAATGATTTATTGTGATATTTTTTATTTTGTAATCTTTTATTTTCATATTTATTATTTTTTGTTAAATAAAGATGTTATCCAAATATTGATATAACAATGGATATAACAATGCAGGCATCACACTGGTCAAAGGGAAACATTTTACTGCCATTTTTTTTCCTCGCAGCACACAAACTTTTACTTTTTATTTTTACAACAGCTCAATTCACCAATTATTGAATGAGATGCCTCGTAAAAAATTTATAGATTATAATGAAATGATTTTAGGTCAAAATAGTTCGATGAATGCAACAAATACAGAAACATAAATGCTCAGTGAGCAGGATTACAGAAGGGAGCAAGCATGCTGCATGTTGTCGACTGGCCAAACTTTGCCATAGTGATGAGTGCCAAAATGAGAAATGAGTTGCTGATGGATTCCTTACTTCGGTCGTCGAAAGATGTGCCCATAATGTGTGCAGGCCAGGCCGACAGTGGGCGTGTAGACGATGGGCATCAGCTCCTCAATGTCTTCCATCAGCACTCTGTAGAAGAGCCTCTCGTTTCTCTCCTGGATGCCCATCAGGTAAATGTACCTGGACGGTGAAACGCAAGAAATTAGAGCCGAAAATTAGGGCTTTGCTTCCACGCTTGACACAACATGTCTTTACTTTTCAAGGGGATCCGTCATTTTCTTGAGATTGTTTTGGAAGCGCATGGCCTGGAGGTCTTGCGTTTCGATTTTAGGAGGCAGCAGGCCGTGCAAGCCCAATATCTGTCGCTCCTGTAAAGAAAAGGCCATTCCCTGGAGAAAGGCACAAAGTGACAACAAGTGAGACGTCTCCCCCCGAATTTTTTTATTTTTTAAAATACAGTAGCAACATATTGAGTGACATTCACAGGGCGCTGTGAAAATGTTTATTGGAAAGATAAATGGATGGTTATCCCCTTCATTTAAACAGTAAAATGCATTTCGCCACATATTTGATTCCATGCTAACAGAAAATGCCTCACTTTAATTAAACTTCTCCCCCCACCCCCCCTTTAGGAAAAAAGTTGTTGCACTACTATGACATCTGACACATCGTGTGTGATACATGTCGGAGTATACTTCACAATTAATTAATTAAAATACATGGCATCTGGAAAACTGTGATTCACAGCAGGGTTTAGAGAGAAAGCAGCTAAAAACACGCTTTATTTAAAAAAGATTATAAAACTGCATTAGTAAGAATAAATGCCTCCTCTCGAACACTCGATTTGACGTAAATCCTGTCAGTTTTGGTCCCGTATGGGTCTTGTGGACATGTTTTCCACGAGGTGGCAGAGCGCCATTAGAAAGGGCTGACTTGTTCATTCCTGACCAGAGAAGCCGACAGCTGAAAGGGGTGAGAAAAGCGTTGTCGGCAGGAAGCCAATAAAGGACATGAGTGCGGGTGTGTGTGTGGCGTATGTTTATGTCTGTGGAAATATGTCGGGCCTTCCGACACTATAACAAAATCGGAGGCTCTTTATATTGGGACACATACAAGGAGGAGGGGATTATCTGCAAATTGCAAAGTCATGCTGATGGAACAATTTCCCTCACTAGTTTAGTCACCAGAGAGATTTGCAACATGCGGAAAATTAGGTCTGGTGTGAACACCGGACTTATATGTAAGAGAACAACATTGCCACTGATTGCGAAGACTTGATCACAGTTGGTGAGGGAGCTGTTTAGATGGGAAGTTGGAATGTCTATTTTTAGAGAGAGCCAACACTTCTGGTCAGGTCTAAATAGGGCATTAACCAACACAAGAGGGAAGACCAATCCTCATTCACGATGTTCCTGCTCCTGTATATGACAGAGCCCCTTCTGTGGCCCCTTCACAAAAAAAAAAAAAAAACGGGCAGTCAGAAATGAAAATTCACCGCATGAGTAAACGCCAACAAAACTTCGACTTGAAATTGTGACTTGCAACAATGCTTACAAATCATGATGACACTGTGTGGCTTCAGCAAGACCGTGTGACTGATGTCCCGACTCGCCAGATTTGATTAGCTGCGTCGCAAGAACGTCTCCACTTTTACAAATTTCAACGCGAAGTGAGGAGCAAGGAGTCGAAGTATGTCTATTGAACACAACATGAGAAAGTGGGAAAAATCAGCTTTTTATCGGCTTTTAAATTTTGCGGCCCCATGTGTGGCAGTCAACTCTGTAGTTCCCCTTTTATATTTGATTACAACCTTTATTTGTCTCACAATGGAGAAATTCCCAATTTACAGCAGCAAAATTATGAAAGGGAGAAAGTAGAAGAACAAAAAGTATATAAATAAATGAATTTAAAAAATGGGTGAGTGGGGGGTGAGTCCAGCTTTTCAGGTTGTAGGGTATTATTTTGACTGTATGATATATGTTAGTTTTTATCCCCTAAAAACCAAAATATTATCAAGATGAATTAGTACACAAATTAAATGTCTCGTCTTTTTCATTATTGTAAGTAAATACTCCTGGACACTATGAGGAAAGCAAAAGGAGGCATCAATCTGATCTAAAGGAGACATTTTACTCAACCCATGTCTTCATTATAGAATGACACCATACAGTACATGTACAGTAATTGTTTTCCACTCTGGCGCACATGAATCATACGCTCATTCCGCGTTAGCATACTGTACACGTTTAACGCCCGCTTACTTTGTTGGTGCGGGGGTTGAGCATTAACGGCTTGCCCTTCTCTTTGGTGTGTGCCCATCTGCAGGCAGGCACGAAGGCAGGCCTCAAGGAAAAGCTGCTCCTCAGCCGGGACAACATGATGGAGCGTCGACAGTCGGGGCGCCGAAAAGCTGAGTGAAAACACAGGAAAAGAGTGTGAGAGAGGCAGGGTGGGAGAGGGGGTGGAGGGTGTTACCTTGGAGATGAGGCAACCGTCTAAAGGGGCTGCGGAAAAGGAATCAGGAAATAAAAGTGTCATCGTGCTCTGCGAATTGAGGCGCACGTAATTCACGGCCAAGTCGTCGACTGCCTAAAATGGTGGCAGAAGAACTCAATACATGCGGTTTTGAATAGAAAATACAGGATGGATGCATGGACAAAATGTTTCTTTTGCCATTATTCCCATTTAAATATGGTCATGTTTTCAACATCAGAATTAGTGATTGAATACTCATTTTGATTTTATATACATTATTTCTGAAAAGGAATATGGGGGGGTTCCATGAAAACAGTAAAACGAGACAACACACAAAGTCAAGGATTACAAGCACAGAGGTTTTTAATCCGCATGTTGACGTCAGCGATTTGGTGTGCGTGAAAATGAAGATTTAAGAGCATTATGCTGATCTCGCTGCTGCTCCACAAGAAGAAAGAAGGAAAAAAGATCACATGACAAGCAGGAAGCGAGGGTGCTTTCTAATATTTTGGTGACCTTGATTCAGCAATGAGAGTTGGGTGGGGGATAGAATTGTCATTTGAAGTGGCTGCTAAGCATGTGACTTGAACTTTGTCCACAGATCATCAGCCAACCTAAAGGAAATATGTTAGCAATTTTCAAGTCTGGGGCAACGTGACTGATTTGTATTTCACTTCCTCTCATTCACATTATCCAACAAGACTCCACTTAAGCTTGGTACACTTTTACGGATTGTGAACATCTTAACCCACTTCGAAACTGTGAGAATCCTCCCACACGTTGAACATGAACGCGCGCACACACACACACACACACACACACACACACACACACACACACTATATATTTTATGAGGAGGTAAGGGCATAAAACGTCTTAATATGCAAAGCAGTTACTGTATTTCCGCTCTCTGTTTATTTACTCAACCGCAGGCGGGGCACAGCTGGAGGCTTTTATTTCTGCATTTTTTTCTTTCATATCAACCAACAGGATTTACCAGTGTATTACTGTACACCTAATGTCAAGTGAAGTTGGAGTTCATGACCAGAGTGTGGCTAAGGGATTGAACAAGCAAGGGAGCAAACATCTTATCAAAGCTACTGCTAAAGTTAGCTCTTATTCCAGATGCAACAATTCAGCCTACTTCCTTGACACCAATTGGTTCTTTGTTATTCACTTTGATGCCACCTTGGACATCTTAATATGTTCCGAAAAGAGCACAAAAAGCGCTTTGGAATGAACAGCTGAGGATAAGTTCCACAGGAAAACTGTTCAAAAGACAAGTAGGTGCCGTAATTCACCGTTTTTATATGTCTAATATATACTATGCAAACTCCACTGGGAAAATGTGGTTCCCATATGCGCGTCCTCTACTCAACATTTCAGGCTCCTAGGTTGATTGATACTGAGGTAATGAACTGAGAAAATGTATCACGGAGTTCGTACACTCCAGTCCAGACCATCATCTCGAGTTGTTGTGTCCACAGAAACATACAAGTGGCAGGCTTTCATGTGTGAAGTTTTATGATGTCACGGGGGAGGGCTGCCTGGGTCACCTTCATTCCGCCAATACAGTACTTGTCATAATGCTTTGAAATGACAGGGGTGGCGACTTTTGACTATGGTGCCGTAATGCGTCACTCATAAAACAGGTGGCGGGGGCGGGGAGGTCAAGCCTCATGTTTGAAGCTGAAGTAGAGTGCAGTATACAGTACAGTACAGTCTAAGGACTTGAAGCTCACGCGGCCAGTCAGAATGAATGGAGCTGCACAAGCAAGGTAAGTGGCTAGCTTCGCCGCTAGTACAGTACAGTACAGTACAGCAGAAATACCTGAAGCTCACGCGGCCATTTAGAATGAATGGAGCTGCACAAGCAAGGTAAGTGGCTAGCTTCGCCGCCTGTCACGCGCCGCTAATAACAGCGAAGTGTCGGATTTGGCTTCACATGTCAGACGGTGGATCTTTGAAAGGAGCTATTTTAAAAAATGAATGACATACACCGTTGCGTGTTTAGAAATTGTACCGAAAAAAAAAAAGCGTGTAGAACTGATCTAAGCGGACGTCACAGACAGGAACCTACAACACTGAACACGTTTCTCAATGGCGTACGTTTTTTAATGACGCCTTACCTGGTTTTAAGGAGACGAATGCCACCGAGGTTCCTTTAAACTGAATCTCCCAGGGGCATGTTTCCAGCAACTCAAACGGCGGCTTGGTTGAGCGCTCCGGTGATAGCAGAAACTACAGATGCTCTGAGAGACACGACGAGCACTCCACTGGTTTTTCGTGAGGAACTTGCGCGTTCAGCCAATCAGAAGATGAGATTCCATCCCGACGTTTACCGTAACTGGCAATATGCGCAACGCCTTTTTTTTTTTAAATCACCCACAGTATGACGTCACTTTACCGTAATATCTAGAGCGTAGTGGTGGGCAACATATCAGTCGAAAACTGCTGAATGGATTTATTGTTAGTAATAAAAAAAAAAGTTAAGTAAGAATTCGACCTTTCGTGCATTTTTATTAAATATTTGGTATTATTACTCATATATACAGTAATATGAATAAATAATAGAATTAAGAATGGTAATTATTTTAAAAATGAAAATAAACGTATAAATAAAAACGTAATATGAATAAATAATATAATTAAGAATGGTAATATTTTAAAAATGAAAATAAACGTAGAAATAAAAACAAAAAAAAAAATGACAATAAGTTTGTATTTCGTATTAGTATGCACCCATCCATCCATTTTGTAATCTGCTTCTCTTCACGAGGGTTGCGGACATGCTGGAGCCAATCCCAGCTGGCAGTAGGCAGGGTACACCCTGAACTGCTTCGCAGTTAATCGCAGGGCAGACATAGATGAACAACCATCTGCACTCGCACTCACACCGAGGGACAATTTCGAGTGTTCCATTAACCTGCCATGTTTGTTTTTGGAATGCGTGAGGAAGCCGGAGTACCCGGACAAAAGCCACACAGGCACGGGGAGAACATCCAAACTCCACTATTAAACTCAATGTATGTGTTTTGAACACATACTTTTTAATTTTAAAAAGTGACCCTTGAGCACTTGGTGTAAAATCAAGTTTACCCCGACAACACAGCACAAATATTTATTTTGCACAGTGTAGTTTTAAATATTGAAAAAAAAAACCAATGCAGAGCAACCATTTTGGATTTATTTTATTATGTTCCCCCCCAAAAGGTGAAAAAAACAATCATTACTTAACATTCAAACCGCTCTCGTTACCAAAATGGAGTAGAAAAAGCCTGCGGGGAAAGACACGTTAAGTATGTGGCTATATTTACATTACTCGCAAAGCATGCAGATTCCGATTTGGAGGGTGTTTTTACATTCAGTAAGCTGGGAAGCATTGAGGTGTACAGAGGCATGTACATTCATTCAATAGAAAATTAGCTCAGTAACCGTGTTTAATTTGCGTGAGAAAAGTTATTGCTGGTTTCGTGGAAAGTGTACTGAAAAAAAGAAAGAAATGTGCTTATTGAATTGGAATTATCATTGAAATTAGTTGGTTTTGCATCACCTTACTGTATATGAAACACCGCTGCAACAGACAGTAGAAGAAAAACATTCCTAAATGTGCTACTGTGAATAGAAGTTGAGTTTGTTTTTGTTTTGCTTTGCAAATGTTCCCTCTTTATCCCATTTTCCATTGAATGTGTGTGTTCTGTGGACCCATTTTATAATAATAGCCTTATTGCATCCTTGTAAAAAAGCTAAAGCGACATTGAATGCAGCTCATTTTGCGGGGTTAGGCACATGTGATTAATAACCTTATCGGAACATACTGTCTTTTACAATTGCAAGCGTAGGCAACCCATAAATTTGGTTCATACTACAATGATGCTTGTATTAGACTTTGGGGGCGGGGGGGGTTAACGTTAAAGTTTATTTTGTGCTCTCTATTGCAAAATAGATAAATATTTGCATTCAAAAAATGCATTGCACATCAAAACCAAAATCAAGTCAAACCAGTCTGAAAATCTGTAAAGACCACACAGCACCCAAAAATGTCCCATAAATAATGAACATGTGAGGAGTTGGACATTTTATACAACTGAGCGTCATTTTTCTAGTCCTACGGTATTCCTCGTTGAATACATTCAGAGGACCTTCCTGTGTGTGGAAGACATAAAATATGAAAACATGAACAAAACAGAAGTTATTTTGTGTGGTTGTCGGGTGTTTTAAGTTCCCGCATATTAGGGTGACGATGCAAGAGTCAAACCCCCAAATCTCTCAGCTGTGAGGCAGACATGCTAAGCACCATTCCACAACGTTGCCTAATTAACTGAAATGTTACTGTGGCGAATACAAGATAGAACTAAAGAGGTCAAACTAACTCCACACAGATGGGCCAGAGCCAAGATTCAAACCCAGAAGCTGAGATCGTAAGGCAGACGTGCTGCTGAGGACTAATCACCATGCTGCCCCCAATCAAAAACATGTCAAATACATTTCTGTCGAGTTCCCTTAAGCAACACCTTGAGCTGAGCTATGCCTTTCCATATCAAGCAGGCGTAGGGAATTCTGGTTCCTCGAGAGCCAACTGGTAAGTCAAAGTACCACTGTATACTTCAGGCCATGACAATTTCATAAAAAACACAATTTAGCGGGAGCTTTGTGGTGACGTGCGCAGGAACATTGTAATACTAGAAAAGAGAGTTAAAAGTAAGATTTAAAAAAAACTTTTGCGGTGTAAAATCCTGGAGTGGTTTTAAGTCCGCGGGGGTGGCGGTGTCCTGTGCTCGGGAGGTCTGGACAATCTGCAATTGATGTTCACTTGTTTGCTCTCCTCCCGCCGCCCTTTCCCATCACTTTTTTCCTTATTCTGTCGACACAGCCTCAATGCTCGGGAGATGAAGGCATCCAAGTCGAAGAGGCGTTCTTTCTGCTTGATGGGAAGCAACTCGTCGCAGTGGACGTCCGATGATTTTGAGGCGCTGGTAGTGGAGAGATGTGGGGGAGGAAGAAGAGGAGAGACGGGAGTGGATGGAATGAGGGAGCAAAGAGATGGAGGGGTGATGGGCGGAAAGGGGCTGATTCTGTCCTCGTCGGTTAAGTGATGCGGCTCCACGTCCGGGTAGTGGAAGACGGGAGTCGGGAGGTCCGTAGGGGACAGCGGGAGAGGCGGGGAGGAGGTGAAGCAGGGGTGCGGCTCCAGAGATGGAGTTGGACTGGGGGAGTCCAGATGGGACTGGGTGCTCTCCACCCAGCGGGAGATCTCCTGGAATAAATCTCCTGTCCCAGTTCCCGTTCCTGCAACCTCGTCATCCACGTTCATCTCCCTCTCGTCCTCCAAGCTTCCCCCAAGTGGCTGGATGGGCACCGGAGGCGTGCTTGTGTTACGCTTCCAGTGAGACAGATCCAGAATGAGGCGGGGTTCCGAGTAGTGCTGAGGTTTGCCATCCCGCCACGCAATCCGGTCCAGATAGGACGGCGAGCCCACCTTGTAGTCGCACGAGCGGCCGCAGTCGAGGTCGCCGAACCCGAAACCGCAGGCCCGGTCTAGAGAGGAGTGGGAGTGCTCCAGGAAGCGTTCGGCGGAGCTGCTGTGGGAATATTTACGCGGGTCCACCTTGACGGAATGACAATAAAGGTGGCGAAGTGAGTGAGTCCTTTTTGTCCGACTTGCATTTGATTGTGTCATTTTGTTTACCAAATATGGTCCCTTCTCAAAATAGGATTCCTTGCCGGATGAGACTCCGAAAACCACATTGTTGAGATTTATTTGGGATTTCCAAAAGCAGATTAATGAATGAATTACTTAATGACGATGGCTCACCTGTCCAGTTTTGTTTACATGTACTGAAGACGTTTTGTACACCTTTAAAACTACGAGGTCAAAAGGATCTCAAATTGGGTGCAATGGCTCACCCAGTGTTGGGTCCAAAAGGGTCCGAGCCAACACTGGGTGATTTATATCCAGCCCATTGCGCCAAAGATTTGACCTTTGGGTCAAGATTCTGATCCAACAAGTGCCAAAAACTACCCATACCAAATGTGTTTAAGAAATGGGTTATCAGTATGGTTACAACTGATTTCATTACAGAAATTTTCTTAGAAGAACTGCCTCTTGTTTGCGGTCACCACAGGAAACAAGAAATATTGATATTTTGAAATGACAAATAATTCCTGAATTGATAAGGGTGATCAAGGTCATATCAATATCTTGTGTGTTTTAAGCCTTTCATGCACCCCCTAAACTGATAAGCTGTCCACTGTAGTAACCGCTGTCCCTGAAAGGGTTAATATACAGTACTCTTCTACGACTTATTGTAACTTCACACAGTGATTGATATTTTGTTCTGGAATCATTTCCAGTGTCGGTAATGATGACATTGTTGTTTCTATCGATATGTTATCTAATACACTTATCAACAGGGTTGCAGGTGAGCTGGAGCTTTTCCCTTTGCTGACTTTGAGCAAGAGTTGAGGTACACCTTCACAGGTGTCTTGAATGAACCGAACATGCATATTTTTGGGATGTGGAAGGAAGCCAGATCACCTGAAGTAAAGCCACGCTGGCAGAGATTCCAAACAGAATTGTGAGGTGGATGTACGTACTAAGCACTTGTCCACCATGCCTTGATATTTCAAATGGTCCAAAATAACGTTAAACTGCACATTTGTCCTTCCGGGAGTTCTTCTGTTTCCATCCATCCATTCATACAGCCATTTTCCAGTGTATTGATTTTATTGTATGTATTGTATTTGTATGTATTTCAATAAAGTCATTAAAAAAAAATTCCACCAGCTGTCAAAATGATTTATGTTTTGTCCGAAAAACCATTCATGTTTCGATAACAGTGGTATCACTGTATCAATATTTCATGGATGGATCTGCTCAACGCTGGTTAAGGTGCTTAAAAATCTCATGAACAGTACATACAAACATTTTTAAAACAAATGTGGATGGCTGAGGCGTATTCTACCTGGGCCTCCTCGAGAAGTGAGGTGCAGCTGGCTCGGGGGTCCCTCTGCACCTCCTCTTCTTCCGTCGTGTCTTCCATATCTGAAGTCATGTGACCGGAAGGCATGCATCCACAGCTCCTACCAAACTGCGGCCAGCACATATCGTTTGACAAGCTGGAAAGAATGGAACAAAAAAAGATGTTGTTTTTTTTTCCCCAAGTTAACGGATTAATATGGGCCGCGGGGTGGGGTTCACCTGTCCCATTGGTTACTGGAGGCCTGGCTCAGACTATTGCTGAGACTGTGTCCCGTGACCAGGCTGTCTTCCAGTTCGTCTTCAATGCGGAAGGGCTGCACCGAGGTGGGCTCATCTTCGGGACACGAGTACTGGCGCAGGAAGGGGTGGGAGAGCGCCGCCTCGGCCGTCAGTCGGTCCATGGGGTTGAAGGTTAGGATTTGCTCCAGGAAGTCCACAGCTGAGAGAAAAGCGTGACAAATATCAAGTTAGTTTTATTCGTATAGTGCCAACGCACAACATTCTGTTGCATTACAAAAACGTGGGGGACAGAAGGGGGGGGGGCGGGGATTGTGGGGTTGGGCAACCAGGGGATGCATGAACATCCACATTTCTTTTTGACATATTTTCAAAGAATTTCATTGAGGCTATTGGAGTTTCAGGGAAGACACGAGCTACGCTCACTTCCGTTACGTTTAAGGGAACTGGTCGCTCAAACGCGTGCGCTGACCTTCTGCATTCACTTCAGGCAGCAGCACGGAAAACGGCTTCCTGACTTTCCAGCCATGATTAATACATGAAGGCATCACCTGGACAGGCAAACGGGACAACATTTACAATAAGGTCATCTCTGTATGATGATTATTATGTTTTTGTATATACCGTATGTTGAGTTTTCAAGAATATGAACAACCACCTGCAGCAGGTCCTGTCTGTCCTCGTCTCTGATTACCGGCACGGTGTCAAGAATCAGCTGCATCTGTTCCAGTGCATGAGCTCCTGTGAATGAAACAGTCACACTAATCAAAGCACTGCAAAGGTCAGACCAGTTCTCTAAATAACAATTTGAAAGGCAGCCATCGAGTGCAATGAGAAGAGACTAAAGTAAAAAAATTGGGAAGGCAAATTGAGGTCATAATGTTCTTATAACGTCTATCAATCCATTTTCCGATCCACTTTATCCTCACAAGGGTCGCTGGAGCCTATGCCAGCCGTCTTCAGGCAGTAGGGGGGAGACACCCTGAACCGGTTGCCAGCCAATCGCAAGGCACACATGCACGAACAACCATCCGTGCTCACACTCACTCCTAGGGACAATATAGAGTGTTCAATCAGCCTGCCATGCATGTTTTTAGAATGCAGGAGGACACCGGAGTACCCGGAGAAAACCCACACAGGCACGGGGAGAATATGCAAACTCCACACAGGAACCCACGACCTCTGCACTGTGAGGTCGACGAACGAACCACTGGACCGCCCTTCTTATAACGTCCTAATGTTAGATATGACCTCTTCTCAAAATACACTTTACTCTTGCAACATGCCTTATTTTGTCCGTATATCACCATTTCATTTTTTAGGGGGAAAAAAACGTGTCTCATGGAGTTATTTCAGCTTTTTCTGGTGACATTAAATGAGTATGCTCTATTTTTTCTCCCACCGCTATTTGCAAATTTTGCACTTTAAAAAAAGCCATTTTTTGAATGTATCATGACTTAATTACTTTTGACAAAATATTTTTGAAGTATTTTCTCCAAATACTGTATTCACGACTTAATTCATATAACATTCCAACGTTAACTCATCACGTAAAATTACGTTATTCTTGTACCGCTGCAAATTTTGACTCATAAGATCAAAGCTTTTTGTTCTGGTCATATTTAATCTTTTTTCTTGGAATAATCTATTGCAATCTTCCCATCGCTTGTGAATTAGATTTTTAGTCAGTAGACTATATGCTCGATAACGAGCAACGTGGATGAAAAGATGGCTTTTCAAAGCAAGTTTATTGTAGTGACGTCAACACGCCAGCAGAGAGCGCTGCAGCAAAACATGAGCCACCAGGTACTGTTTTTCTTTCATAAATACCACAGGTACCCTGCGGTAAATAGGAATACAGCGCAGCAATAAAAAGTGATTGCTCAGCTGCTTTGCGGATTTGCGGTGTTTGGTGAAAATAAAAGATGGATGTGTGACTGGAGCAGTTAAGCGCCTCCTGCCTTATGTGCGTCCCACCCTCTGGTGTGTTGCAGGCCGGTAGAGGTCAAATAAACTGCGAGAGGAGGAGCAACATGCAGACTTAGTCTGGAATCATTGGCATTCTGCTCACACAATCGTGGAGACTGCAGAGAGACTCAACAGATGCCACTTTGTGTAATGTCATGTTGAATTACGGAAGTGTGATTCATCATAAAGGGAAAACTGCTTTTTAAAATTCTACTTCCAATATTCCGAATTGAAAGAGCCTGAATAAAATTCAGTTAAGTTGTAAAAAAGGCTGCATGATAGACAAGCGGTTAGCACGTATGCATTGCAGTTCTGCAGTTGGGGATTCGACTCTGGGGTCCAGCATTCTTATTCTTCTTGTGACTGCGTGGACACTCCAGATTCCTCCCACATTCTCAGAATATATAATATAATACAATACAATATTTTTTTCCTTACAAATTGATTCAAATGAAATCTATATTCTACATAACATATACATTAGATTTTTTTTCCAAAAGAAATGTACTTTTTACTTTTTACATTTACAATATATGTTTTCCTGTACAATAATTTTACTCTTAGTCTCATCATTTATTTGCAGAAAATAAATGGTATTTAAAATACCCCAAAAGGTCACGTCTTTTTTGGTCTCACTTGTTTTCCACAGCTGTCTACCTAGCATAGAATTCAGATGTTACCTGCAAAGAGCATGCGTCCAGTGAGCATCTCAGCCAGGATACAGCCCGCAGCCCACATGTCTATCGCCTTTGTGTAGTTGTTCGGGGACAGCAGCAGACGAGGAGAACAATACCACTTGGTGACCAGACCCTCGGACAGGTAGCCCTGTGGGAAAACAATAAGTGAGGCCCTTCCAACAAAGTATACTGTAGCTACTGTTCAAAGTATGTGAAGCATAGTCAGCTCTTCGGTACGTTTCGTGCATATAAATCCGGTGCAGTGGTTATTTTTGTTTGAACAACAAAGAAGCCTCAGTGGGGGCTTTTCCAACAAATTTATTTTTAACTTTACAAAAAAACACAACATCACAACGTTAGGGAAAACTGCACAGGGGTTCAGTCGAACAAAGAAGAATGCGCTTTTTAGCTAAGAATGTTTCGCTTTGATGAGGTATTCGTGAACATTTATTTTTGTGGTTGTAATTGAATTCACTTTCTGCAGTGACTCTGAGTAATAAAAAAATTATTTGAAAATGTTTTTTTCATGTTCTGTTGTGATGTTCTAAAATAACCACATTAGCTGAATAGAGTTGTATTTCCGCTCTAACAAATAAAAAAATTGGCAACAAAAATGAATGAAATGTACTAAAATAATGTAGAATATAATAATTTAAAATTGATATATAAGATCTACATTGAAATGGCTCCGATAAAAACTTTTACTGACCATGACAAACTAAAATGAAATGACGTATGAATAAAACAGAATAATACAAAAGAAGACATCTGATAGTCACACAGAACGGTACAAAATTAAATTCAATTCGCTGTCCATGCCGCTCAACCTCAGCTTTATGACACCAAGAGACAGCACCGGGTGCCTAATAAAGTGAGCGCTGACTACTCTTCGAACACTCTCTTTTTTCACCCTTTCTTCCTTCCTGTTAAATAACTTATGGGGCAAAGCTAATATGGTAGACACGCACTAAAGTCTTTGAAAGTGTCAACATTTTGGCTACATTCTCTCACCCTCCCTGCTCATTTTTCGCCCCTTCCCCTTTATTTGTCCTCTACTCCTCTTTATGTAAACACCCACCCCCCCTTTGTGTGGCACCCGGCTGATCCGCTGCCCCGTGATCTTAGCTGACAAGAGATCACCTTTCATCACACACACACACACACACACACACACACACACACACACACACACACACACACACACAAACACACACACACACATGAACGACAACAATATCAAATATATAGGTGTATACATCTATGATAAATATTTTACTTCTTATTATTATTAGATAACAAGTTTGTCCTGGAGCGGTTAGCTTAGACACGGTTAGCACGGCTAGCACGTATGATGCAAAAAAACTCTAAACATTAGTATGGATTTACAACCCTGCTGCTATCATTATACAATTACGAAGATTAGTATTCAAATGTTACTGTCTTTATTAAATTTTAAGGATTTATTCAACAATTTAAAACATATTTATTTATTTATTTATTTATTTTTTGGGGGGGGTGCTTTGCAACATGAACAAAGAACAGAAATTGTATTTGACTGTTCAAGCTGACCTTATGAGAATAGTGGGGGTCAACTATCCGGGCCAGGCCAAAGTCTCCGATTTTGAGCAGCAGTTGGTCAGTGTTGATGAAGATGTTGGCAGGCTTCAGGTCTCTGTGCAGCACGTTGGATGAGTGGATGAACTTGAGGCCCCGCAGCAGCTGGTAGAAGAGCAGTGTGGCGTGACCTGTGGAGATTTGGATTTCAAGCCATTTTCCACATCCAAGAAGTACAGTGTGGTGCAGGATGGGAATATTTTGTTGTATTCACCGTCAAAAATGGATAAGCATACCCCGTTTGGCAATTGGGACCCTTCGATTAAGCATACAAGTCGAGGTGGTCAGGTGAATAAAAGGTGGCGCAGGACACCATGTAATTTGGAAATGCACCAAAATCAGTGGGTTGACTTTTGTAAATATAAGCACTAAAGTGGCCTAAAGTTGGAACCGGTCAAATTTGGACTGAGCTGTTTAGATACAAATGTAAAACCAAACCAATGGAGTCAGTGCACCACAGTCTGTTTTTACGAAACCAAAGCTGTCAAGTGTGAACCCGGCCTATGATGCATTTGCTTTATCCGTACCTGTCGACAGCGCTCCTTGCTCCAGCAGCCGAGCCAAATCTGTCTCCATGCACTCCTGGATGACGTATAGGGCGCCAAGCTGGGCTGGGTCCCTTACAGGCGGTCGTCCATGGGGTGCCAGGACCTCATGTACCCGGACCACATTTTCGTGATGCAGCCGGCGGGTGATCTTCACCTCCCTTAGCGCGTGCTTCACCGTGACGGCGTCACGCATGGCCAACTTCTTGATGGCCACGCGACGTCCGGTGCGCTGGTCCACGGCCGACAGAACCAGCCCGGTACCACCGGCGCCGAGGGGCCTGATGTCGACAAAGTGGGCGCTGAGGTCGAAGCCGTGGTGGAAGTGCGAGGTGTCTTGTCTGGCCATGATTGATGACTTGGCCTGATTGGAAAGGTGTTGTTTTATTGCGATCAAACATATTTCACATTTGGACATGTGCATTTAAACGTTTAGAGCACAGGTGTCAAACTCAAGGCCCGTGGGCCAAATCTGGCCCGCCAGATCGTTTTATGTGGCCCGCGAAAGCAAATCAAACGTGTCATTTTCCATGATGTTTGCTAAAATCTCGACCAAAATCTAAAATTCTCATATGTAATAAATAAGAGAAATATTCTAAGCATTTTCTTGTCACCAACCCCTCATTAGAGTAACAAACAAAAGTTGAATAAACTGTAATTGACTTTTTAAAATTTGGTTTCAGTTAAATCAGGTTCACCTCTAAAGTAGCAAAGTGCAATTTAGGTTCAGCTTGAAATTTCATCCGAAAGCCCAAAATATCCCTCACGTTTTGTGAGCGGTGTGAGTGACCAATTTTAGGACTTGCTTGGCTAAAAATTAACTTGACTTGCTATTCATGAACCAAGTCAAAACTTGAACTCCATGACTTCACAAGTCTTGAAGGTTTATGATTAGAAATCCGTATTTTTAAGGTAGTGTGCCATTGTCGTGCTTAAGATTAGGACGGTAAATTTGAAGCGGTGTGTTTTTGATCAAATCAGGGAAAAACAGAATGGCAACATGCAAGATTTGCTACTCAGAGTTTAAGAGCTAAGCTCAATTGACGTGGCAGTTCAGCTGGTCATACGTTAACTTTGCTACATGTTGGTTACACATTGAATTGAGAAGACAAGAAAGAAACAAAAAAATACAGAGAACAATTTTGGAACCATTCAAAAACTGTGATTGTAAAACAAGCTAGAGCAGCTAACTATACCACAAGTCTAAACACTTGAGCGCAAAAGTGGCTAATATGCAAATATATATTGTGACTGAGCAAGATTGTCTTCACCTCCCCGAACCAAACATATGATTTCACTTTATTCATGCGGACTTAACTCGCTTGATTTTTGCCGCTGTACCTTGGGATTTGCTCGAAACCAGAAGGTGAAGACTCGTGACTTATGACTTGCCCGTATGTGACTTATTCCAACACTCATCAATTCCCCTCAGGTAAAAACAGCCGCATCATGGACAGCGAAAAAGAATAAGATTCTCTTCCTCATCTTCCATGATGACATCAGTGGTTCATTTCACACAAGTCTGTCGCAAGTTAGCACCATAAGCGAATCAGTGGTGTCTCTCCCAGTGTTTTAGCTACCTGATGCCTATACTCTGAACCGGAGGGAGGGGTGGGGGGGATTTCAGCGCCCCACTAGGAACATCAGTCGGCCAGCGCATCTGTTACCACGGCTGCGGGAGGGAGGAAGGAAAAGAGAGAAGATATGTGAAAGTCACACAGCAGAGGATTCAGCAGAGTAACTATCACATTTATTCGAGCCAGTTTGAGAGCTGTAAAATTTAAAAAAAAAAAAAAAATATATATATATATATATATATATATATATTTAACATTAAACATTTTGCCCTTTTAAGCGGAGCAATGGTCATTTTTGATTGTCACTGTCAGAGAAGTACTAATTTAGAAAAGAGCTTGCGATTGTAGTTGTGGTTTGGAGCGGTGTGCAAAACGAGAGCCATTAGGTGCCATTTGCAGCCAAGTAATGCTCCCAAAAGCAGGTTAAATATTACAAAAAAAAACAACAACATTTGAAAAAGTCATTAACAGAGAATGGAACTAAACAATATTAAAAAAAAGAATAAAGTCTAACATAAAATGAAAACAAGATCAAAATTTAACAGTAAAAGAAAATGAAGAAAATACAAATGTGGAGCCTATCCCACCTGTCTGTAGGCAGCAGGCAAGGTGCCTAAACAAAAAAAAACTTTCACACTCATAATCACACCTCGGGACAATTTACACTAACCTACCATGCATGTTTTTCGGATGTAGGAGAAAACCAGAGTAGCCAGAAAAAAAACCTCGCGGGCACGGGGGAGAACATGCAAACATCACACAGGAAGACCGGGATTCGATGTCTCAACCTCTGCACTTTGAGGCAGACGTACTCAACAATCAACCACCGTGCCGCCTTGGGAGGTAAGTGGTTCAGATAATAGTTTGCAGTGGTGTAGAACTGCACTGCATCACACTGACAGTTGGCTTCTCCTATTTTATCATTACCGACAAGCGAACAAGGTCATCAAATTACCAGGAAGACTTTCTCATTCTTATGCGGCACAGTTTTATTTTACTGCAAACTACAAAAGACCAACATTAACCCTCTCATGCACCCTGTAACCAGATAACATGAGAAACTGTCCACTGTTGAGGGATTTAGCCTTACTTTTGAGTATTATTGGTAGCAGTCTCTCACCTGAACATCCATTTAAACTCTTAAAACAAAGGATGTAGTGTGAAGTTTGTATCTTCTTCTCCCTTGAGTGATTAACAGCGCCCAAGTGTCTTCTTTTGCATCCCCCACCTCTGGCGAGACCCCGAAGGCCGTCAAGTCCCCCTGAGGAAGAACTCTTATCTCAAGATTTATGCACAGCAGGAGAGGTCCGGACTTTCCCATCATGCCAAGATCGAATTGCATCAACCTTGCTTTGTTTCTGAATTTTACATAAGGGGCAGAACTGCCCGCCTCTCGTTAACATATTATCCCTGTATAAACGTGAGACTGTATTTTTCTTTTGCTTCCTGACGAAATCTAAAAGTCTCAGGAGCCCGAATTGATTCGTAAACTGCAGAAAATAAAACCTTCGAAGGTACTGTTCATCGTCTCCAGCCTGTATTTGGATAACCAACATCCTCATCATCCGAAATTAACGAACACGCGGAGGAAGAGAAAGGCCGACTCTCTCCCCCCAACAAACCGCTGTCCCTCAAAAGGTTAACACTAGACTATTTTGCCAACTCTCCTATTGGATCACGTTCGATTGTGCAGCTGTTATAAAGCACTTACTTTACAACAGTCCTTGATCCCTGCAAGGAGCCAAACAATCCGTCTATACAAATGACCAAAGCATCACTTGACTCACTTTCCTCTCGGCTCTCCGTATAAAAGGTTCACAGAAGTAACAAAGAGGCCGCCACGAAATGACACTTCACGTGTGCGCTCACCTCAGAATCCGCAAAGTATGTGTGTGTTAGACGGAGCGAGAGAGAAAGAGAGAGAGGCTGCATATACTGGCGCTTGGTGGGAGGCGCAGCTTCAGACTAACTTTATAAATAATTCATCACCGCTGGAGATGGCGCTTTGCGCGGGCGCGTGCGCATGTGACTTTTGCAGCTTATGCAACAACAAAGAAAATATCTCCACCAAATGACTTCAAAAAGGGTTGCTGTTTTTTTTTTTTTTTTTTGTCACTTCAAAAGGGGTACCAGTGATGAAAGACAGGTTGGGGGGTGGGATGGTGGGTGGGTTAAATCTGATTCTAGCCATAGACTGCGATAAGAAAGCGCTACGTGCATCTTGTCCGGCCTGCTCACGACAGTGTGGTGACCATTACTTTGAATTTACACGGCAGTCATCTGCGGTTAGCGTGTATGTGAAGACACTCGCCTCCTAGGCGTGCACGTTTAGGATTACAATCAAGTGTTATCAGACTTCATGTGCATAAATAAAATCTTTTTGAAAATGTCTTGACCTTTTCAGACTTTGCATTGCAATGCAGGTTTTCATTCTATATATGTCGTGATTCTTACCGAATAAAGAACAGTAGTTTAATGGTAAAATATATCGAATTGATTCATACCGTTTTGGGCACCAGTAACTGTACCGCATAAATTCCATCCAAAAACAGAAGGCTATGCATGCATGTGAGCTTGGATTGACTCCAGGTACTCGGCTTTCCTCCCACATTCCCAAAAACATGCACGTTAGGTTCATTGATCACTCCACGTTGTCCGTAGGTGTGATTGTGAGTGTGAATGGTTGTTTGTCTATGTGAGCGCTGCGATTGGCTGGCAACCAGTTCAGGGTGTACCCCACCTGCTGCCCAAAGACAGCTGAGATGGGCTCCGGCATGCTCGCGACCCTTGTAAGGATAAAGCGGCTCGGATTATGGATGAATGGAAGACTGAAGAATGATTAAAAGACCTTAATGAAAGGTAGGGGCAAAAGCAAAGTTTGTAACCTGGATTTAAAAGCATTTCACTTCTTTTGGCAACTATTTGTGTGCAGCATAACAGCTAAAGGCTGCTTCGACATGTTTGTTTTGAACTTTGGGCTTGAATCAATTGCGGACATCAAAGCCCTACTCGGTAGGGTAATTATCTTCTTTTAGACACTTGTGTGACAGCCAAACATGGAAACACATTACTACATTTATGCCTGAGCATTTAATACTTTTTATGATGACCCTGGAAAAGATTAGATGCCGGAGAGGTGTACTGTACTCCATTCCACTGTATTTTCAGGTACCAGCATTAAAGCTTCTCTGCATCTTATTCTTGTGTGTGCAGCTGGCTTCATGAACCAGCTGAGTGCGTGCGTGTGTCCGTGTGTGTGTGTGTGTGTATGTGTGTGTGTGTGTGTGCGCGCGTGTGCAGTGTACCGCCCCTTTGAAATGACATCAACTAAAACACTGTGTGAATAGGTGAGTAAAGTGCACCAATAGTACTCAAGCCAGTTATTTAATCCTTTTCTCAAACAATAAGTCCTCACCACGCTTGAGTCGGTGCGCGATACCATTACAAAGGGTGAGAGGAAAAAAAAGAGAGGAAAAACAACAGCATCACACTCACCGGAGGATCATACAGCCCGCCCGCCGTCTGCAGACAAAAGATCCGGAGAACGAGATAATCAAGACAGATGCGAGCCTTCGTCAGAGAAAAAAAAAAGTGAATTAAGTCAACGCATCTCTTTAACTCGATCATTCTTTGTTATAAGGTGATACCATGGGAGAATGGAGGGCAGGCAGCTGGCAGCATGTCGGCAGCACCGAAGTGGGGATCCGCGGATGATGAGATAAGGCAGCAGACTGCTCCAGAGCCGAGAGCCCCGCTGTGTGGCCGGCCGGAGGACCGCGGAGAATGGAGAGAGGGGAGTGAGGGAGAGAGGAGGGATCTATATCAAGATAGACCCACACAAAAGCGTACGTTTGCACGCACGCACACGCTGCAGCTCATGAAGTGCCGTCTCTCGTTTCATCTTTTCCCACAATTCCAACTACTTAAGTCTGGGAGTGCCGGCAGCAGCAACAAGCATGTCGGCATGATGACCTCACTTAAACCCAAGGCCTACAACGCCTCTCAAGGTTCATCGAGTACACACACACACACACACACACACACGCAAATACATAAACGTCTCAAATACAAAAAATAAGTGGTGCAAAGACTCACCAAATCCGGCAGATGGAGCTGTGGTGAAAAAAGGTTGTTACTGCGGAATTAGCAAGTGCAAAGAAAACGCATCGAAGAAAATGACTGGCACCAGCAACCCTCCTGAGGTTAAGATCATGAATAATGCGGCAGTACAGGCCTATTATGTTTAAAGGAATCATTTTTAGTGTTCTTTTTAAGAGTGTGGTATTCGTAAGGGGAAGTACTGCTTCGTTAGCGTCCCTTTACTGGCCCCCTATACATTTTGGAGTTCTTTTCGGCAAATTCGGCAAGCCCCCTCGCTGCTCATCTTTAAAACTCGTCTTAAAACTCATTTTTATTCTTTGGCTTTTGACGCAATATAAGACTTGATTTGTGGTTTTACTGTTTTTTGTGCTTAGTGTGGTATTCGTAAGGGGAAGTACTGCTTCGTTAGCGTCCCTTTACTGGCCCCCTATACATTTTGGAGTTCTTTTCGGCAAATTCGGCAAGCCCCCTCGCTGCTCATCTTTAAAACTCGTCTTAAAACTCATTTTTATTCTTTGGCTTTTGACACAATATGAGACTTGATTTGTGGTTTTACTGTTTTTGTGCTTTCTGTCTTTTGTTATTAATTTATTGTTTGTTGTGAGGGGTATTTTTGCTCCATGTACAACACTTTGTATACAGCGGTGGGTTGTTTAACTCTAAAAATACAGTTGATTTCAGTCGTAGTTGACAGCTGAAGTGTTTTTTTTTAAATATGGGTTTTATTTAACAGTAATGGTACAATTGCATTTTAAAGAAACGTGTGAACAAAATCACAATATTACTTGTTTAGTTTTGTTCCTGTACGTACGATTGTATTTAATACAGAGTATTGGTTCAAATACAAAGTTGACATGTTTTTAAAAAAAGGGCAGATATTCCTTGTGTACACCCAACTTCAGTGAAGTTGGGAACGATGGGTTAAGCCTAAATAAAAACAGAAAACAATGGTTTACAAGTCATCTTCAACCTGTATTTAATTGAATGCACCACAAAGATATTTAATGTTCAGCCCGATAAACATTGTTTTTAGCAGATAATCATCAACTTCGAATTTTATGACTGCAACACATTCCAAAAAAGCTGGGACGGGTGGTAAAAAAAAAAAAAGACAACGTTTTGGAATGCTCATCAAACACCTGTTTCAAACATCCCTCAGCTGAACAAGCTAACCAAGATCAGGTGGGTGCCACGATTGGGTAGAACAGGAGCTTCCATGATTTGCTCAGTCATCTTGACTGTTACGGACGCAAGGTTCAAAACCCATCATTTAAACTGTTGAAATTGTCTTCTACAGGGACTCAAGAGTCTGACCTGGGCTTACTTTACTCCAGGAAACACTAATTGCAAGTAACCTTAAACACAAATACAAACGCAGCCAATCACTGTTGGGTAGAACAGGAGCTTCCATGATTTGCTCAGTCATCTTGACTGTTACGGACGCAAGGTTCAAAACCCATCATTTAAACTGTTGAAATTGTCTTCCACAGGGACTCAAGAGCCTGACCTGGGCTTACTTTCCAGGAAACACTAATTGCAAGTAACCTTAAACGCAAATACAAACGCAGCCAATCACTTAGTCAAAAATTAGTTCCTGTACATTTCTTGTTCAATCGCTATCAGCACCCATTCCCTTTTTTGGCACCAGTTTCTTAAAAACAAAATCACACATCACCATTCAGTTTATGTTTAGAAGTTTTTCTCCGTTTCATTGCTGATACAATTGCACCACTTGTAGGGATCTTCTGGTCACTACAGACCATTTTTGAGAAATTTAAAGTGATCACAAAACAATGACTTAAATTGCATCCTGTTGTTACTTAAATACATAAAAACTAGATTAATGTTTGACCATCTTGATATTTGTAAGCTTAAACAGCATACTGCAATAATGGAAACTGTTGTATTTATGTGTTTGATTTGGCCCACCACACAATTCTCAAAACAATTCAATTCTGCGAGGAACGGTCATAAAAGAGCACCAATATACTACCCAAGCTCCCATAATGCATTAAGAGTGAAATACATCCAAATTTGTGAATTATTCACTTTATTAGCTTAGAAAGGCAATATAAACGTGCAGACCTTTAACTATTTATGACATAGAACTCACCTAAAAAAATGATATCCTCATTAAGACAAAGTTTATGTAGATTAGTTGAATCAAGTCGGTCATAAATAGTGCAGTCCGGCATAAAGCATTAAATTGAGTGCGGTGGATTCCAGTGAATTTGGTCAGGAGTAACAGAAGGAAAAACAACTTGAATCTATGTGTAGCTATTTAAAAAAACTATGAGTGAGTTCAAAAAGGTGGTACAAGTGAAAAAGGAGGAAGAAAACTCGTGGGAATGCTGTAAAGTGACATGCTGGAAATTCTCGCTTTTGATCCATATGACAGTCGTTTATGATGGACATTGCAAAACAGTGATGTTTAACAGATACAAGGTGTTGAGGTGAAAGTTTTTTTTGGGTCAGGCGTAAAGAGGCTGGTAGCCGCTCCTCCGCCTGCTGCTTTTACAGGCTATCACGCACACGCTCAGCATCCCAAAGAACTGCAGACATACAGAAAAAAAAATCAAGTGCTCAGAACTTTTTTTTTTTTTTAAATTGCGGTTTCGATGTTATTGTACTGTCGCTAAAATTGAGTGAGGCTCACAAAAAAAATGTTTGCTCGCAAGTGGCACAGTTGGGATATGTGTCATGGCAGTGTGAATTGGGAAAAAAATGCATGAAATCAATTATGACAGATTGTATTCAGGCCTCCTCCAAATGTGGAAGAAAATATGACATCTCTGGGAGTTCTGCCAAAGCGAGTGCAGCATAAAAGAACAGATTGGATTTGGCACATCAATTTGATTTTGACTTGACCTGATCGAATAGACTGATTTGTGACAGAAATTTGTCTGCCCCAAAAACAAAAATATACACATTAAAAACATCCAATGACAATTCAATATCTTCTAAATATGCTGCATATTTAAGACATGCAGATGGTAACAAGACAATGTGGATTAGTTACTCTCATCGTCTCAATATTAATAATTAAAAAAAAACAACAACAACAAAATGGATTCAAGCCACTTGGCCCTGCAGTCTAAATCCATCTGCAGTATATTTTACGCTCCATGTCATTAACGGTGTCACATTTTGGTTACCTTGATGACGGCGAAGCCCAAAATGACCAGCATGCCATACTTCAGCACGTCCTGCAGCAGGTGCTCCAGCTTGGCTTCACAACCCTGAAAGCACACAATCCCCCCCGTGCTTCATCTCCCACATTTGACTCGTCCGTCAGTACTGACCAGTAATCTTCGTTCACCTCTAAGTTGAGCAGGTCTAACTGGTCCAACCTGCCAGTGCACTGTGTGCTGACATTTTTACAGCAGGACACGGGCACTGTGCTGTTGTGGCTCTGGTACCAGGTCGTGTTGAACCAGCTCGTGTAGTTCCTCACGCCGCAGCACTGCAACTACACAAAGAATAACATTTTTTTTAAACACGATTGAGCTCACAAATGGCAAACAAATAAATAAATAACAGTAAACACACATTGCTCTTTCGACACAAGTCAAATGAAAGAGGATCTGGAAAATGGAAGTGCAAATCGTCCAGTACCAACCTTAGTCTGCAGGTCATCCACAGTTTTGGTCTCAGGGTCTTCGCCGTCATACTTTGCAAAGACGTCGCTCATGGACTGCTCCAAATTCCCGTTTATCTGCACACACGTTTGAAAAATGCTCAACATTTGAAAGGATAAATGTTGTCGTACTGTACATGCAAATGCGGCAGTCACCAGCAGATGTCACTGTGGTCCAAAAAAGTGAAGAGACGCAATTCAATCATCAATCATTCTTATTGATGTTTTAGATTTTCTAGCAGCATTATTTTTCCTGGCAAAAGTGATCCCAATCACACAGCCTTTTTATAAAGGCTATTCTGCGGATTCCGATGCTCTTTAGATTGTATCTCACTTGTCAATGTGTCCATGATTCACCCAAGAGACAGTATTCGTTCCTTGTGGTTTAGGACACAAATCTGTGTTAACATACCAACAGAATCTAATAAACTGAGCATTAATCATTGATTATTTTGAGTTTATTTGTCGTGACCATTTTTATTTTTTGACTTTTCACTTGACTTACCTGAGCTTTCTGTTATCAGGTTGCAGTATCGCTTATGTTAGCATATCGCCTGCATTCTCAATGAAATAAGGTAGAGGGCATGACGTAAAATCCTGACCCTACTTTGCTTGACGTTAGCATACTAACTGCATTTTGTTCATCCTTATTTGAAATACTACCTGATTACAAGGCAAGTAAAATCCTTTATCATTTTCTCTTGGTGCTTCCTCGACTCAAGTTTATATCTTGCTCCACGTTCGCATATAACCTGTTATCATATTTGCATTGTATGAAAGCACATTTTTCACTCATGCTGCCATCTACATCAAGATGGCTACTTCATTCATCTTGTGAGGGCAATTCTGTATGATCGGGATAGCAACTGTTGAAGACGACTCACTTTGCCTTGGTAGACGAAGCTCAGCACCAAAACAGCAACCTCGGCTGCGAACATCACCATGATGATCAGAAAGAACTACATGAAACAAAATAAAAAGACACTTTTAAGGTGAGAATTCATAGTGCAGGGGCATCTATATCGTTTCAGGGTGGGGCACTCACAAAGCTCAGGCCCACTTTGGACTCTCGCATGGTGGCGCAGCATCCCAGCAGGCCAATGACGAACATGACCACACTGATGCCGATGATGACCACGGCCGGAATGAGCGCGTACTTGTTCTGGATGAAGTTCTCAAAGGTGTCATAGCTGCTCAACACCTGGGAGCCGACGTACGCTAAACCAGCACCTGCAGCCTGAAAAGCACAGCGACACATTTATGATTTATTTATTTATTTATTTTAATGTTGCTCTGATTTGAGACTCTTGAGACTTACAAATTAATATGTAATCCCCATCCAAGATAAAGGAAACACATGCAAGGCTCCCACTCATGACAACAACTACATTTATACATTTCGTAATGGCGAGTTATTTGTAATCGTTTTTTGTTGTTTTCTCTTCCGGGCAATCAAAATATTGCTTCATGCGAAACAGGTCCATGGTACAAAACGGGTGGGCACCACTGACGCAAGGTACAGCAGTGCCCAACAAAAGATAAGGGTTCTTTGCGCTTATGTATATTTGAAAAAGAAAAAAAAAAAGCATATTTAAGCATTACTAGACTGAGTGACATTTGACATGCACCTTCTGGTGGTGTCGTAGCCAGCCATTTGCCGGATTTCTTTATTATTATTATGACATTATTGCATTATTACAGGTTGCGAAATAGCTTTATGTAAGTGTGATGGGGTGAGTCCGGGATGTATTCAGGATTTAAACTTTTGATAGTTACTTGTATAAACATTTGGGGGCTCAATTACTCACTCTATGAACAACAGAATGTTCTCCCCATGACATGCTAATAGGAAAGGTATTTGTATACAAGTCAATCTGTCCTAATTTGACGTACAGGATGTCAAGCGTGGCCATCAATTGGTCTGCAACACAATGATGACAAATCAGCTGATCCAGCAGCACAAAGAAGTTTGTTCTTAATATCATCTCCTGTGGCCTCATGTGAGTTTGTCTCGAAATGAACCCTTTCAGCGCATGTTATCGTGACTCTTTTTTTTGGGGGGGGGCGGGGGGGGGTTGATTTGCGAGCATGTGACTTCTCTGAACATGACTGTCACATTGTGATTGTGTTGAGACTATCTGTTAATCCATGCGAAAGACGGCACGGCTGTGACCTACTAAATCATTATTATCAACACACCTCAATTCCTTTTTCACCTTTGACTGGCCTTTATCGGTGAACGGGCGGGAGAAAGACAGGATAACATCATTTTCCTGTATTCCAAGGGGGTTTTGCAGAGGCAGGCGATCACCTGTCTTTTTCGGCTGGGCCGCATGACTCATGTCTTTTAATCACTCCACAGTCACGGGATGGCAATGGGCTCGCTTGCTCGCCCCCTCCATCCCCCTACCCCCAGGATTGCCTCATAATCTCCCCAAGAAAGTCTGATCTTATGCCCGTGAAACGAGGCAGCAAAGAGGCTTTTTGTGTGTGTGCGTGTGTGCATGTGTGTGTTCAAGAAAGAGGGACAACTCTGTGGAATGTGGCCAAATCCAAAAGAATTTTATGCGGCAATGGCGGGAAGGTGATGCGTGTGTGGTGTATTGCAATTTACTGTGGAGCAGTGAGTCTTGGTGGGCATGTTGTGCAACTTTTGAGTTATACTTGCTTTTTCGTTCTCTCTTTTACAAGCATTTGAACCACCACCATCTAAGTTAGGATCCAAGTGTGAAGATAAGTGCTTTAAATAATGAATGGATGGAGAGGAGAATCTTTTGGACTTCGGTTTATTGTGTCATTAATTACCAAGGTTATTATAGTTCATGAAAACAATCTAAAACAGAAATATTTTTGTTCATCAAATCAAATCAGAAATGCTTTTCAAAACTCAGACTATGCCATACGCTTATAAAACGATGTAAAAATGAGAGCCAAAAAAAAAAAAATCTAATGAATATCATACATGACCGATCAGAGTTCATTTTTAAAATGTTTATCGTTATCGCTACACGTCTGTACAGAAGAAGGTCAAAGAGTCGTTGCTGATTAAAAGCCCCTCTCGGTGTTGATTATGCTGTCAAGAAAAGCAATGTTGAGATGTCAAAGTTCAGCTTGAAATGAGTCTTTTCGTCTCTCATTATTTATAAAGAGCAGATAAAAGGCCTGGAGTTCATTTCAAATGTGGTATATTCATTTGGAATCTGGTAGGTATCTCTCGATATGAAGTCCAAAGGCTGTCACTAACAGAAAGCAAGTCATCATTAGGTCCAAAAATCAAACCGACCCCATCAGAGAGATAACAATGGTCCATTCTTAAAATTAGAATAGGAACTGCTGAGCTCAGCAACACCGAAAGAGCACGAAAACCAAGTGTGGTGGATGGCGGAAAAAATCCTTTCCCTCGTCAGGAAACATCTCAAAGAACCTGAACACTATCTTATGAAGAGAGACCACCTTTACGAGAAAGAGGGAAAGAGAAAAGTATGGAGAAGGGAAGGAACTGCTCAGGATCCGAAGCATACCACCCGTTCAGTGAAGCGCGGCGGTAGTGTAATGGGGTGGGCATGTATGGCTGCCAATGGAACTGGATCGTTTCGATTTATTGATGATATGAGTGATGATCAAACCAGCAGAATGAATTCTTAAGTGTTTCCGGCAATGTTATCCACTCATTCCCAGCCAAATACTTCACAACTCATCGGCCAATGCTTCACAATGCAAATGAACAATGACCCCAAGGATACTGCGAAAGCAACCAAAGATTTTTTTTTTTAAGGCAAAGAAGTGTCTTTTGAGAGATACAGTATATCTTTGAAGAAAATTCCACAGTTCCAGTTGCCTATTGCAATTGGCTGGCAACCGGTTCAGGGTGTAACCCGCCTACTGCCCGATGACGGCTGGCATAGGCTCCAGCACCGCCCCGCGATCCTTGTGATGATAAACCGGATAAGAAAATAGATGGATGAAAAGCTCATTCATCTTGTAAAATGACAAGAAGAAACAAAGCATTGCATCATACTTCCCTGGAACTCAGTTGCACCAAAACACAATTCCACTGAATTTAACCCAGATATTCCACTTTAAAATAAAGATAAGATAAGATAAGAAAAACCTTTATTAGTCTCGCAATGGAGAAATTCCCAATTCACAGCAGCAAAGTTATGAAAGCAATCCTTGAATTGTCGATAGAGATTCATATCAAACCATATTTTAATGGAGATGCACATCCCTGATAAACATTCTCATATACATACATACTTATATACTTTTTGTTCTTCTACTTCTCCCTTTCATAACTTTGCTGCTGTAAATTGGGAATTTCTCCATTGTGAGACGAATAAAGGTGTTCGTATTCTTATTTGACAAATCTGCGCTGTAGATCTTTGATGCAAAAGTGAAACGATGAGGTTAAAAAAAAACCAAAAAAAACAAACAAGCGTTCGTAAACAGATGGAGGAAAAACAAGGAGCGTGATTACATTAAAGAGATAAAACCACGACTGTTTTCCTGCGTAACAAGAGACAAGGTTCAGTTGAAATCTTGTTGCACGTATCAGATCATCAAACAGAATCGAGTGTTTTCGGAGTGCAAAAAAAAAAACAGCCCATTGCAAACGGAGGCCAAGGGGAGGAATGACGACTTGTTTTGATGGTTGCCACCTGAACAACAACACTCGAACGAAACGTAAACATCAAAGTGACGAAAACGAAACGACGTCAAAATTCAATTCCTACTCTCCTCATATTTACAAGTTTTCCGATTCAACTTACTCAATACCAACAAAGGAAAACGAAGACATTTTGAGTTTTACATACTTCCGTAAAGTCTGCCAAGCGATAAGAATCATATTAACATTCAACTAGCATATTAAATGAAGTTAAACAGGCCTGCTGTGATTTTGAGGAACTACCGTATGGTCGAGAATACAGTCGACGCCATTTGATACCACAAAAGATTGACTTCACAAATGCCAAAAAGAGTTCCTCTTACCCAGAAGATCAGACTGAGGAAGAGGAGGACCGTCTTGGAAGTAATGATGCCGCAGTCCATGTCGTTCAGGCGGTGGTCAGGAGACTGAAACGGAGTCAGCCCAGCTGCAGGTCTTGACGTCGGTCCGCTTTCTTCTTTAGTCACGAGGGTTCCAGGCAGTGTGACGTCACTTGTATAGTCGCGTGGTCACGTGGTGCGGAAGTGGAAGGGAGACGGTTGGGGGGCAAGTATGCGGCTTACGCTTCCTGTTTTTTTTTTGTTTTTTTTTTACAGAGAACAGAATGTTTGTTTTATCTGTTTGAGTCACACTTAAACATTGAAGATGTAACGGTTCATTCGCCTGACTCATGTCACCACGTTGCTTCAAATCCCACTTTTGAATGCGGTGTGAATTAGGACTGCACGATATTGGAAAAACATGCGTGTGATGTGGGTGTTGAATATTGAAATATCGATTTTATTATTTAACATGCACCTAAAGAATGACATTTTCATTATCTAATTAAATGTTTTAAAAAAAATTGTGTTAGTGCCCTTACTCAGGTGTAAAACTCATTTATGTCGCGGGCCACTTTGGAGTTGCGTCTGAATAAATGTTTAATTGTCTCATACACATATTGCATGTGCCATTTTTGTGATTACATATTTTTTATATTGTGTAGCTTTCGTTTGAATGATTGTCCGCTTTTGGTTCAAGTCACCTGAGATAGAGACCAGCTCTTATAACCCTCAACACGATAAGGACGATATCAAAAGGATGGGTGGGTGAACCACTTTCACAAAATTTAAAGAAGACATAAGGAGTGGCTGCAGTCTAAAAGAGGTCACTTTTCTATTTTATATTTTGGATATGTGAATAAACTTTGCTCCGATTGCATCGCTTTTCTTCTTAATTTGATATGGAAAACAGCTTTCCTTTGACTGCTGACGGCGTCTTGGCCACTGTCTTTTGTGGCCAGCCACGGTGCACTCTAAGGTGGCCGCGGCAGCAAGACAGCCAGCCGTAAGGAGCAACATTTTTTCCTATTTCGATTTTTTTTATGTATGCAACACCGTCTGATAAACCGTAGATGCGACAGACGCCCCAACAGCCAATCATGGCTCACCTGTATTCTGAGTTTGAGCCATGATTGTTACCTGAGCACGTCATTTTTCATCGACAGTGAATGGCTGGCAAAATGGCCACCCACTGAGATGAATAAAAACGAGTGGATTTTATGGCTTCACTCAAATTCCATGAATGCAAACTGTGTTTAGACTAGCGGGGGCGTATATAACATCTTATTGTAAAGGAAATATTTGACTTGACTTCCCCTTTAACGGCTACAGTATATAAATAAACTTGACCTGAGGGTTTTCTGTGACATTATCATGGCATGTATGTGGCCACTTTCCAATGCGTAAAAATATCAATAACTATTCTTTTTGTTAGCCATACAGAATGAATTATATTTGCCCACATGGAATCCGGACGTTATTACAAAGCCCCTGAATTACCCATGACCACGCAAACCCGAGTATGTGGTGCACGGACACATCACCAAACACAAATAACCCCCAGCACCACCTTCACAATTTTACCAAGCGATCAGAGTGCTGCTTATCAGAAACAAAACGTCGATCCAATGTTAGCCCCTCGACATCCAAACTGTAAATTGATGGTGGTGATGCAAAGCCACCAATTTACATAAAAGTGCCCAGTGTTCATGCAGATTTGCATTAGCCAACTGAATTAATTTAAGATAAGCAGTACATACTCGAATGTTCAGCAGCCAATGGACAAGCTAACCAAGAGGTCACTATGCCACCTGCAACCGTGGTCATATTAAAAAAATGAAGCACCTCACCGCTCATGTGAAATTCCTCCACAATAAGGTCTTTACAACAATCCATGGTTTGCTGTACGGAAGAGTCTCTGCACTCTGACGTCTCTAAATAACAGATATATCTTGCCTTGCCTCAGTTATTGGAGTCTTATTACCGTGGCTGCCGTTTGTAATAAGGAGCGTTTGAGTCTGGATGACAACATGTGTTATGACATCACGGCGAATGATTGCGCATCACCACTTTGTCTGAAAGTCTCTCATCTCTCTAAAGCGCGCACATTACTAAGAGCCGAAAACCGATAAATATCGGGACAAATTTCACTTGTGGCATAATTGGCACTTTAGCCACTCCACTTATGACCAGACCACCTGGAGGATCCGCAGAATATCGTTCAATACGGCTCTGGCCCACCGGAAATGAGCCCTCGAACGCGATCCAGGAAGAGGGGGGGCGCGGTCTCCAACCTCATCCTGAATGCCATCTCCTACAGCGGCCCGTCTGGCGTCACCTTGGCCGGCCTCAGGAGAGTCCTGAAGGCCAACGGCTACGATGTGGTGCGCAACAGAGCCCGGCTCCGACTGGCCGTCCGCAGACTGGTGACCAGGAAGTACATAGTGCGCACCAGGGGAAGACGTCTCAGGATTAACCCCTACGGCCCTCGCAGGCGCAGAGGCGTTCGATTGCTGAGGCGGCGAAGGAGGAGGCGGCGGAGAAGGCGGAGGACGAGACGCAGGAGATATAGGAGGAGACGCTCCAGGAGAAGAAGGCGCAGGAGGGCCACGCCCGGCCGCAGGAGGAGGAGGAGGAGGAGGGGGAGGAGGAGGAGGAGAAGGAGGAGAAGGAGGTCCGTGAGGAGGAGAAGGAGAAGGAGATCATTTCGGAGGAGGTCCGTGAGGAGGAGGAGAAGGAGAAGGAGGTCCAGGAGGAGGAGGTCCCTGAGGAGAAGGAGGAGGTCCCGCAGGAGGAGGTCCGTCAGGAGGAGGAGGAGGAGAAGGAGAGTGAGGAGGAGGAGGAGGTCAAGGTACCCAAGGAGAAGGAGGAGGAGAAGAAGGAGGAGGAGAGTCAGGAGGGTCCGCAGGCTGAGGAGGATCAGGAGAGTCAGGAGATACAGACGCAGGAGGAGACCCAGGATGCGCAGGAGGAGGAGGAGGAGAAGGAGACTGAGCAGGCTGTACTAGTGGCAGCTGAACATGGACTGTATATACGCTTCCATTTTCTCCATCTATTCATATAGACTTCTATTTATCACTAATGGACCTTTCCACTTTTCATGCCACTCTGTTTAAATAATATTTCTGTGTGAAAATAAAACATTCATAGACAGCTGCTTGGACCTCATTGAAGCTGTACAACCATTTTTTTTAAACCCAAACTAGGCCTACAGATCAAAAGTTGCCCCAGGGGCTGCTAATTTGTAGTTCAAAATCTTCAAAGATGAAGTTCAGGGCAGAAACAGTTTGGGAGTTTGTCTGACAAAAAATACAATCTCCACAAATACAATTTTCCCCCATGCATCTCATTGTTAATGACAAATGAATTTGAAATCAAGTCACGGAAAATGATGCCTATAGTGAGCAGATCCTGGTTTATCAACACTTAGAACCCACACAACGTGATCGCTTTCAGCAATATTTTAAAATATTTTCAAAAAGCCACTATAAAAAAAGATTTTGTGTTCTCTCCATCATGTGTCTGTCAGCCATCTTGGAAGGTGAGTAGTTTGAATTTATTTTGTTTTTAACATACTGTGGGCTCTACAGTGGCATGCTGCTTTGGCTCTCAATGAAGGCAGACGCTTTTTTGCTCTGCTCCTGCTTTTTTTCCTAAACTTAAATTATCCTCAGTAGAGGATAGTTCGAGCATGTTTTTTTTTTCCCCTCTCCTTCCCTAGTGTTTACTTTCTCAACTAAGACCTCGGGGCGCTGTACATACGGTACCAACAGGATCTTCGCACTGTATCCCATGTTCGTCATTGTTTTTCAAGTTTCTTGTGCAGAGCGTGCTTGTTAAGTCCAAATTACCCAATGGGGATAAATAAAGTTTTCTGAATCTGAATGACAGTTAAAGTATAAAATTATACTTAAAACATTGACTGCAGTTTATAAAAAGTCGTGTTATGGTGAAAAATTCTTCCACGAGACTTCAGCTGAGTGAGCAGTGAAATGGACAACTCCGCAGTTTCGTTTTTTTGTTGAAAGGCTAAATGAAGACGTCATTTATGAACTGCACGTAATTAAGCATCATCTAAAAACACTTATGACTGTCATCCAGATATCTTGAATGGCTGGCATACAATGAAACTCCTCTACAACGAAACCTACATGGGAGAAAATACTCCCTAGTGTGAAAAAAATGTCATGCATTAAAGCCATTCCCACTTTTCTGCTCCCCACACGACGAAAAGTCCCCCTATCCGTTATACGAAATCTTTTTCTCTGCTCTTGCCTCGCAACGAGATTCACTGCAACGAAAACAAGCCTTCCGCCAAAGTCGAATCCAACCTCAGCATGCCACAGCGACCTCCACTGCTTTGTTCGGAAATGGCAGCAGCAACCACCACACTGGTTTACACATGCGCAGTAGTCCAGGAAGTACAGGATTTATTATTGTTTGTTTCAGACGCAGCAAGGTTGCATTAAGAAAAGCATTCAATCTTGAAGACAGGATAAAAGTAATATAAATGAAAGATGGAGGAAGCAAAGTAAAAGACATTATGCAAGAAATTGATGAAAGTGAAAGTGAATGCTGATCGTAAATTTCGTTCCCTTTTTTTTCTTTCTACACTGGCTATATAAAGTGTCAAATAAGAAATAAGTGTATGCTCATATTTATGCACTACGTATTGGAATAAAAATAAACACAACACACATGTTTTGTGCGTGTGCGTGTGCGTGTGTGTGCACGCACGCGCGTTTACATCTGAAATAAAATTTCCTACAGTGAAAAGCCCCCTGTTGTGAAAAACTTCTTGATGCAAACATGATTTCGTTGTAGAGGAGTTTCACTGTATAGCGTTACTTCATTTAGTTTGCATGACAGTATCACATCAAGATTTTTGACTTTTGGAGGTGCATTTCTTCCCCTTGTATTCCATTTCAACATTCATTTGATCACTTCATCTCAATGTGTAGGCAGAAAAGTTCGAATCAATAGGTTATTGAAAATCACGATTGTCTGCATGACATCAATTTATCATGAATGCGCAGCAAGATACATTTCACTCAAAGAGTCAAGGCATGGAGTCCAGACACACATTTTACATTGAACATGCAGCACGATGTGGTTTACATGACAAAATGGATCCCGTTTTATATTCGCATGCAATAATGGAGCTGTCCAAAGGGGTGCCGCATGGAATTGGCGTCATGTCAAAATAAATGAATAAGCACGCATAAATAAATAAATAAATAAATAATAAATAAATAAATACTGAGCCCGTGCCTCAAAATGAAGCTCTTGAGATAAAATTTACAATTTTCTCCCCATCCAAGGTTTAGGAAATAAGGGCCAAGAAGGATCAAACGATCTAAATTTCCTGCATGGAATTGTAAAAGCAAATGGTTGGATTATTGCATCCATTATCCGAACCATTTTATCGCCACGAGTCGCGGGCATGCTGGAGCCTATTCTAGCTTTCTTGGGGTAGCAGGCTGTGTCCACCCTGAACTGGTGAAATGGTTGCCAGCCAATCGCAGGACACACATTGAAATAATACAAATAACTTTTTAAAAAATGACTTTGAAACCCCACAACAGTTATAAAAGGGCCAAAATATTCAACTCACTGAGACCATGATACTGTATATAACATTTGTTGGATCTTTTTTAATTTTATTTTAATTCATTTAAAGGAAATGCGCTCCCTGTGGAAGACAGGTTAGGACGTCCGCCTCACGGTGCAGACGTGCAGAGTTCGATTCCGGCTGTGGCCTTCCTGTGTGGAGTTTGCACGTTCTCCTCGTGCCTGCGTGGGTTTCCTCCGGGTATTCCGGTTTCATCCTACAATCCGGCATGTTAATGCGATACTAAATTGTCCTTCGATTTGATCGTGAACGCGAGGGGTTTGTCCGTCTACGTGTGTCCTGTGAATGGCTGGCATCCAGCTCAGGGTTTACCCGGCTGAGTGGCCGAAGACAGCTGGGATAGGCTCCAGAACGACTACGACCCTCGTGGGGACATAAACGGATTAGAAAATGAAAATGGAAATGAATCGCACTCACCCATATTATTTACATTTAGTTATTTATCTGGTCTATTCTGTTTCTCTTGTATTGTTATATATTATTCCTGATGTCAGTTATCAATATATACTGGAGTTTTATTGTCTATTCTATTCATATTAAATTGTTCCAAACTCCTTCGTTACTTTTGTCAAGTTGTACTTTATTGCACTAGATTTTATTCTTTACCATTTATATTATTTCTATTGTATTGATGGGAATTTATTATTTATATTCTCTATTCGATTTCTATTGTTAGTCGGTTATCTTTTTTATTATTGTCCATTCCATATTGTTTTGTTTATTTAGTCTATTCTACAATTGTAATATTTAATTTTATATTGTATTCTATTTCTATGATATTATGTTGTCTTCACTATACACTATATTGTATATTGTTTGTAATTTATTATTTACATTGTCGAATCTATTTCTACCATCATATTTCAAATGTATTAATCATATTGTTTATTCTATTTCCATTGTACAGTATTGGGCGTTTCATATATTGCCGATTGTATTTATATATTTTTATGTAGCGTATTTCTATTGTGTATCATGTTCCCTTTACATGCTAATATGTTTCTATTGTATCGTTTGGAATATATTCGTTAAATATTTAATTGTTTGTCCAATTTTATTTCGATAGAGAAATGAAACATGCAAATACATATATGCTTGTTTAGTTTTTAAAAAAAACTAATAATAAAACCTTTTTATTATTACATCCAAAAGTAAATCCGTGCTGAAAGCTTTGCACAACATACTGGACTCAGGTTACATTTAAAATAAACGCATTTTATTTGTAATCACTCTGCCTCACAGGGTCCAATTTTGCGTATTTCTTTGGACTACAGCAACCTGTCACCGTCGGAAAAAGCGGGGATGAGCAAAAGTGACCTTGACTGTTGGTGTATATCAGACACATTACAGAACTATGTCGTAACTATGATGACGTGGGCGCAAATGACACGTCACCCGGTGTCCTGTGCGTAATTACGCATCACACTTTGACCCCAAAGCTTGAATGTCTCTAAAACCGAACGTACAGAGGGTCCAAATTCCCGCTAAAACTATGAATCGTCTCTTTTTCAAATCCATTCAACGGTTTATTGTGTTCAGATTAAAGGAGGGCTGAACTGTAGAAATTTGAGAGTTGAGGTATGGTCTCGGGTGTCACCTTCCGAGGTACCCATGAGGACTTGATGAAGACTCAACACATCGAGACAAGTGTCGAGCCATCAGTCAGACTCACGGCCTCAACTCAAAACTCTAGAGCGAACAGGGCACCATGTCTCTTGCACGCAAATCCCCGAGGAGGAGATCCAGGAAGAGAGGCGGACCGCTGGTGTCCAATCTCATCCTGAACGCCATCTCCTCTTACGGGGGTCCGGGCGGCATGACCCTAATCGGCCTCAAGAGGGTCCTTAAAGCCAATGGCTACGACGTGGTGCGCAACAAAGGACGGATCCGCCTCGCGCTGCGCCGGCTGGTGGCCAGAAAGTACGTCGTGCGCGGCAGGGGCGCCGGGGGACGCGGAGTCTTCCGCATCAATCGCTACAGAGTGAGGAGACGCAGGAGAAGCAGGAGGAGGAGGAGGCGGAGAGTGGGAAGGAGACGGAGGAGACGAAGAAGGCGATACAGGGGGAGGAGGAGGAGAAGGAGGAGGAGAAGGAGAAGGAGGAGAAGGAGGAGGAGGGGCCGAAGCAGGAGGAGACGAAGGAGGGGCCCCTCCAGGAGGAGGAGGAGGAGGAGGAGAAGGAGGAGGAGGAGGACCTCCGTGAGGAGGAGAAGGAGGAGGATGTCTGTGAGGAGAAGGAGAAGAAGGAGGTTGCTGTCTGTGAGGAGAAGGAGGAGAAGGAGATTGTCTGTGAGGAGGAGGAGGAGGAGAAGGAGAAGGAGGAGTTCCGTGAGGAGGAGGAGGAGAAGGAGGTACTCCGTGAGGAGGAGGAGGAGGAGGAGGAGGAGAAGTAGAAGGAGGAGAAGGCCGAGGAGAATCAGGAGAAGGAGATACAGACGCAGGAGAAGGGCCAGGTCCATCAGGAGGACCCGCAGGAGGAGAAGGAGAAGAAGGAGGAGCGCGTACTAAAAAGCTCTCGGATGGACTCACAATCTGACATTTTGTATATCTTGCAGTGCCTGCAGTTTACTCTTCTTGTCATATTTATTCTTTAAATCTACTGAGACTGTCATTTTATAGCAACCTGTTACCATTTCCTTTCCATTTATATTCTATTGTGTAGCGTGTGAACAATAAAATGTGGAGAAAACCCAATTTTTGCTTTTTTTTTTTTTTCCCCTGAACAATGCCGCCAAGGCCACGTTGGTGTACTGGCACAATGGCATACTGGATTGAACGTGGATTTTTTTTTTTTAACAAGTCTTACTGTATATGCAACGCTTAATGAGTTTTCACATATGGTTAGAGTTAGAACTTCATCTGTGGTCATTTCTCAAGGTTTCGTCTTTTTACACAAAATTTGCTATTTTGAGTTTTTCCATGCCTGCTTGGTGATTTTAATTATGGGGCATGTGAAAGGTCTTTGAAACAGTTTTGTGAGTTAGGGCTATATCAATCAATCAACTTAACCACTCCTGCATTTGCAAACCCAATTGAAATTAATCCCTTATGCACAGTATCTGATGCCACATAAATGATCTGCATGAGTATAGCTTGAAAACAAAATGGCCTGGCCTCCACTGCAAGCAATGAAACACCACACTTCTCAAGAGTTTCGGTGCATTTTTAGGCCTTCAAAACCAACTTTGTTTTCTTTACAAAGCGTGATGTAATGAAAAGCTTTAGGTAATTTAATTTGCAATATCTTTAGATGAACCAACCAACATTTGAAGTATATCTCTCAAATTTGGAATTCCAAAAGGTGGTAAAATAAGGCAACATTTGAAAGGAAATTAAAAATGATTAAAAAAAAAAAGGTGGATTTTCTGCTGGTTCAGGAAATGGCTCCCAAAGACTTTTTTTGTGGGTCTTAAACTGTTAATGTCTCCCAATTTTCACAGAGCTAGGTGAAACATAATTGGGGCTACTTCATTAAATATTTGTCAGAGGCACTCCGAAGCCATTAAAAAAAAGAAAGTAAAATAAGCCTCTAGAACACTGACTTCATCCCTTGATCTGATGTATGTGCATAGTTTTACCAGTTATCAGATATATTTAGACCATCAAATTCATGTCATTTTTAGGGGGGGGGGCAAACACGGTAAGTGTCTGACAAAATGAAATGCTTTTGTCAAGCTTTTCATGTTTCACATCCTTAGATGAAATACCCAACATTTGAAGACAATCAGATGAAATCTGCAGGAGTTTATTAAAATATAACCTCTATCAAAGGTTAAATATTTGGCCACATTTGAAAGAAAATTCAAAACCTAACTTCCTGTTAGGTTTATGTTCTTGCTCGAAGATGTTTTGTAACTCTGGTGCTGTTTCTTATGCCTTACAATTTCCGTACATCGAGATAAAACGTACAAACAGGTCTGTTTCCTTTCATTAAGAATTTGTAGGGGTGCTACTGAGCCATTTATTCCTTTGGAAAATAGATTTTTTTTTTGATTTGTGTGCAAATTTTCATGAGTTTTCAGCTATGTTTACTTTAGACCCGCAAAAACAGCAGTGTTTTCTTGGCGAACAATGCATCGACAAGACAAGGGCGTTTGGGGAAAACCAATAAAGATTGTGTTTGAGTATGTTTTAAATGTTAACACTGTTCTGACAAATTTTGAGTTAAATCCGGTTAACTGGCTCGAGGAAAACATTAAAACTTATTTTTCCTTTTATCAGTAGGTAGCAGTATATACGAAAATGCCTTCAGGCCTGGACTCTCGATCTGGGTTTGGTTGCAGCACATTGACTAAAATATTATTTTGACCAATGACGCCAACTGATGAAAATGTCGAAGTAGAGCAGGCTGGTAGACTCTCACTAAATCCAGTAGGTAAAAAAAGCACAAATATGTTTACCAACAAAAAATGCACAAAGCACCTTTCGGTGTTCTTCTTTCACTTCTTTCCACTTGCTGTCAACTGGAAATAACATCACAGATGCTCAGGTAACTACTCATGATGTCTCAGTTTCATATAACAGGTGAGCCGTGACTGGTCGTTGGCTGAGCTCTGAGCAACTGCCATTTTGAGCAGCCAGAAAGAGGCAAAATGGCCGCCCCTACAGATGGACAAAAACGGGTGGATTTTGCTGCTTAACTCAAATTCCACAAACACAATACGGATCAGAATGCCGAGTGAAGGCGCATAGAATATTGAAAAGAAAATTTTGGGGTTGACTTCCACTTCAAGTCTCTTCAAAGTCATTCCAAAATTTTCCATATCTGCTTTCACGCAAGGCAAACTAGTACCACTTGTAGTATACAGAAGTATGCAAGCTCCCTCTAGTGGTATATAAAAGGAACTGTGCATAATGCCTTTTTTTTTAATCAGTGCATTTCAATTCAGGTCAGTTTAACTTAAGTTCAACACATGTGCATTTAATATTGAAGAACTCCTTTTTTATTTTTTTATTCCATTCCCGTGCATTACATTTTGATTGAATCCAAGCTGTTTTATTTTCTTACATTCAAGCGCAATACAGTGTGTAAAATGTTGTATGTATAATGTGTGTGTGCGCGTGTGTGTATATATACAGGTATATAGATGTACTGTATCTAAATATATATATCTACATACCTGTATATACACACATATACACACACACACACTTATACACACAACCACACAAAACCTCTATCACGTTTTAAATAAGACTAATTGAAAAACATATTTTAATCATGCGAGTGTATTTTAATGCTGGTCACGATAGTATTTTGTTTTTCGGTGGTACATGCATGGTGTAAAAGTTTAAGAACTACTAACTTATGCTCTACTTGAGCCTCCGTTGGTTGCACAGTGTGGTAAACTGATATAATTCTCATGTCGTAAATAATATACGTCAGTTTAACCACATTTTAATAATGTGCAACTGAAGGTCAAATGGACTGAAACACAAATTGTTCATTGTAGAGCGTTTTTTTTTCAAGAACGGGTGCAGTGTGGTCCACATGAATAGGTATAGTTCTTTGACCACGTCAGAATTTATTAAACTATACTGCAGGATAAGTGTGATGACATCACTGCTGACACAAACTGAATTTGCACGGTTTTCGGCTTCGATCAAACTAAAATAACCAGGAGTTTTGCGCAAACACGATAATTTTAAAAAAGTGTTGGCGTTTGACAAATGAATATAGACCGCAGCAGGCGTGGATCAAAAGCATTTTATTTAAAATACGCTTCGCATTCCTGTGCAAACGTACAATGCCAGTGCATACATTAACGCCACATTCAATTGAATCGCCTGTAATGACAACTGATTAATTAGATGTGTAACGATGTCATAATGGTGATGACACATATTGAACATTACGACTCCTCAATTCATACCTGACGCGTGTCAGTTGCGTAATTGTGCATCAGGCTTTGTACTAAAGGGTCAAATCTCTCTCAAACTCTCACGTACAGAGACAAATGAACCCCGCTAAACCTTATGAAATGCTTTTGCAAATGCAGTTAGCAGCCCACGAGCGCATGAGCACAGGAGAGTTTAGCTGGAGAAGACACACAGGTTGGAGGTCACACGACACGGTTCTCATCAGGACTTCAAACAAAACAAAACGAAACGAAAAAACAAACAAAAAAAACGCAGTTTTAATTGAGACATCACTCTCAAGGCTAGTGTTTGTATCTGAACGTACTTTATCAGAACGCAGGCGCATCCCACAATGTCGGTGTCACTTGCGCTCATATCTCCACGGAGAGCGAGGAAGAGGACCGCCCCCACCGTGTCTATCCTCATCCTGAACGCCATCTCCTCCTACGGGGGCTCACGCGGCGTGTCCCTGGTGGCCCTCAAGAAGGTGCTAAAGGTGAGCGGCTACGACGTGACCCGGAACCGAGCCAGGATCCGCCTCGCTCTGCGCAGGTTGGTCGCCAAAAAAGTCATTGTGCGCACCCGGGGCAAAGGGGCTTCGGGTTCCTTCAAGCTCAACCCCAAACCGCCCAGGGGTCGCAGAAGGAGAGCCGCGAGGGGGCAGAGGAGGAGCAAGAAGAGGAGGAGGAGGGGAAGGGGGAAGAAGAGAAAGGCCCAAGGGGGAAGGGCCAGGAGGAGTCGCTCCAGGAGAAGACGCAGGAGGGCCACCCCTGCGAGAAAAAGGTCGACCAGGAGGAGGAGAAGAGCCCCGAGAAGGAAGACGCCCAAAAGAATCAGGAGGGTCCGACGTAAACGCTCCAAGCCCACCAAAGTCCGCGGGAGGAGGGTTAGGATGAGCGGAAGGATGTTGAAATGATCCACGGCATCCGAAGAACCACATGGACTATGTATTTATAAAGCTATAGTGTCTATGCTATCTGTCCTTCTGTAATAGGAACTAATAATCCTGCTGTCTCAGCACTTCTTTCCTTACTGTCCATGTTGAGAACAAAAATAAAACTCATTTAACTCTGAAATATTCCCTTCGAGGTAATTTAAATCCTCCCCCACTGTGGTAGATAGGCCTGCGGGACAATAACTATTTTTTTCGCAGCAAGACCAATGTCACTGGAAAGAGTTGGAATGAAGGAAGTGAAAATTTTCAATATGTTAAGAATTAAGGACGTAATGACATTTTAAAGGCTCCAAAAAGCAGTCAAAATTGTCATCTTGTTTTTAATACAAAATAATGCAATGGCATGTGATCGGTTCTTAATAAAGGGATGAAGCCGAGATATTGAGACCTGCCGTTTCCTTAAGTAGACCGAATTTAGGATGATCGGTGTCCTGGCTAGATTTGCGTCCGAGGTAAACCGTTCCTTGAGCACCTCCACCTAACCCGCCCGAACAAAATGACTTACTCCCAAACCCCAGCACCAACACAGTACATTATATATAATCGTAAATACAAAAATGTAACTTGATCAAAAATAAATAAATAAATAAAATGGTATCGTACAATCAATATCACACACCAATAGAAAATTTAGAATCTTCAGTGAGTCTAAATTACAGAATGTTTTTGGAATGTGTTAGAGAGCTGCAGTGCCTCGATAAAATACACGCAAGCACGGGGAGTATCTGGAATACTGTACATTTGGCTGGCTTGTGGTTCAGTCATACAACATTTTCGTGGTTGATAAGTAGGCTGGTCAAACCCATTAGGGGGAAAAAAATAAGTACACGGAAACGCGGTGGAAATCAGTTTCCCCGCACTTGTGATCCTCAGACTGACATTGAAGCCGACGTTTTGCAGTTGTTTTTGAACCGCCACCGCCATCTAGTGGATACATTTGGTAACAAGTTACTGGGGGTCAGAAAGGACTACAGTACTGGACTGACTGAAAATTGATTGTCAGAGTTATCAATGAGACATTTATAATAAAGACCCAATGAGGAGAGGAGACACTGGATTCTGGTACCAAATCTCTCGAGGTTGGGAACGAGGAGAAGCGTTAGGTTTCAGTTCTCTGCACGTCACCTGAGGAGCTCCTCGCTCACCCTCTCATTTGGAATCTAATACTGTACATGTGTGTGTCCAACCTGAGGGCTGTTGAAGACGATTGCGTGGAGTAAATTTACAGTTTTGAGTTTGCACAGGTCTTGCAGACTTTCTTCTGTGTATTGATTGCGGACACTTCATGTGCAGAGAGGAGGTTGTGTGTGGGTGTGAGTTCAAAGTCAAGTAGGATATGTCCAGATTTTTAGGTCAAGACGGAGATTAGATTCTGAAATTGTTTCTCTGAAGAATGGAGAGATTGTGTAGAACATAGATAACATGGTCAAGAATTGGACATAATTTCTGTTGGTAGACTGTTGCAACAAGTATGAGAGGAAGGAGGAGAGATGTTCTAGAAGTGAAAGAAGGCTGTCATGTGTTTCACGTCATGGTCAAAGAAGTGATACCAAGGTTTCTGATGTGGGTGGAGGTTGGTCCACTGGAGGGTGAAGCTCCGGGTGGCAGTTTTGTCACAGTTGGGATTTTAAAAGAAGACGCAGCCAGTTAGGACTGAAGGAACGATAGCAGCAGTTGAATTTGAGACCAAAGGACAAGTACAAGATGAAGAGTGGTCAGAGAACGGAACTTTGGGGGACACCCTTGGGAAGAGGGCAGTTTTTGATCGATGAACTGATGACATTTTCTCCAGTTGTCGGTGGTGATGGTGATAAAGGTGATTTCAAGTCAGGTGAGATGGGGATAGAGAGGATCGAGGACAAAGGCTATTGGTAATTGGTAACTCCCAAAGACGTTTTTAAAGGTCTTTTCAGACTTGGTCCAGAATTGGCTGGTACTGAATGACTTAAGGAGGTCTGTTTCCGTGTTGTGTTTGTAGGGCAACACAGATTGTAACTGGTCATCCATCTTTCAGGAAAAGAACCATCAGAATCAGTTCGGGTGGAACAATAATGGTGACTTTCTTTGGCCAACTTGTGTACCGGTAAGTATCTTGGGTTTTCACATTCAGGCCTGGACTAGTTTGTCCAGTGACTCACTGGGGAAAATTGTACGGGAGCATAAGCTCATGTGACAGGTGTGCTTCCCCTTGTTCAGGCTTTAAAGAAGTGAAAGTGAAAAAGAGAAGTGAAAGCACTTCTCTTTTTTTGTGGCTTTTGATAAGACGAAGCCTGCATGTGAATAATATAAACGTTATCCAACATGAAATATGTACTGTGGATTAACAACCTAGTAATCCATTTATCGGCACTGATATGATAGGTCCTTCTGCATTTTACCCGATGTTGAGTCACACCTTCAGAAATGATTAACCATCAAACACAGATTTAGATACTTAACCTTATGGCATAGTTTTTTTGTTTCTAAGCGTTTGTCGAATACAACTTTTAAAGCTAGACTCATGAAATATGTTTTATCAGTCAGATACAGTGTTAATACTCGGAGGTAACAGACGAGCTCAGCAAAAGCTAAACTTAAATCACAGACACCGTTTCCCCACCGACAAGTTCCTGATCAAGGTCATATGATGAGAGAGGGAGGAACTGTTGAACCTTTAATTCAGCAGTCTTTACCGACACTCTGGACACATTCAAGATGAGGGCACCTGCGACCCTCCTGGCTCTCTCTCTCCTTCACGTTTGTTTGTCAGTTCCTGTCAGACGTCCGACCAACTGGCTACGACAATGTCGAGCTTCCACTAACTTCTCCGTCACAGCTTTAGAAGTTCTACCTGGCGGAGGCTGGGATAACCTCCGGAACATAGATATGGGTCGGGTCATGAACCTCAGCTATTTGCATTGCCAGACCACCGAAGATGGGCTCTACTTCATCCCAGATGAAGTGTTTGTCATACCCCACAAGGAGACGGGACTGGAGACCAACTCTGAGATCATCAGCTCCTGGCAGGAGCAGCGAAGCTCGACGTCTTTCGGCATAAATGTTGAGGCATCATTCTTTTCTGTGCTGAATGGTAAATTCTCCTCTGAGAACCAAAGGATGAAAATACATCAGGTCCAAGACTCTTCAACCACAACCAGAGTGCAGGTGAGTTTTTTTTTTTTTTTGGATATGTTGAAAGTTGAAAATCTTGTGCGAAAACAGCCACATTATTAAAGAGAGGCGGGAGAAGAAAAACAAAATCACAAATATCTGCCTAAAATGCTACATCTGAAGGTAAAATCAGTTGACTAGCTCATATTGATTTTTATTTTGTGATGGTGCAGAGAAATGCCTTTTAGTTCAGGGGTGGTCAAACATTTGGGGTCTAGGGCCCCCTACTGGGGAGAAAGTTGCCCAAGGGCTCCATTATAATATGAACATCAATCCAACACCGTAACTATCAGGTGTACTGCTACTCTCAAGAGTAATTTAATATACACAATGAGCGATGAATATACTGTTAAGTAATAGACCAGGGGTGTCAAACTCATTTCACATTGTGGGCCGCATACGGCCTCGGTAGATGTCAAGTGGGCCGGACCATTAAAATGATACCATACTCTGCTATAAATAACTAAAATATCATGTCTTTCCTTTGTTTTGGTATAGTGAAGTACAAGAACATGAGGAAAATGTTAAAATTTAATGAACATATCTTTTACCTAACATTTCATGAAACACCTTCGATTTCCTTAGACAAATGTGCAATTTACTTTTATCATTCACATATATGCATTGTAATTGGTATTAAAAAAATAGTCATTTTAGATTAAACGAGATTTATAAAGAAAGGATTTTTTTGAACCATTTACACATGTGCATATAAAATCTAAATTTAATCCCTGCCTACACTTTGCAAACGAAAGAGAAAACAGTGTGCCCCCTAGCGGATAATACACGAATTGCACCTTATTAAAACTATTAATTCCGTGTCTTTTATGCATTTTTTCATTTTTAAATTATCCCGCGGGCCTGATCGAACCTCCTCGGGTATGTTTGACACCCCTGTAATAGACTATACCCTAGCCAAAAAAAGTTGGGGCTGCTATTCGAACTGTTTCACTGTTTCAGTGTTTTTTTTTTTTTTGCACAATTTGCGATTCTCTAACAATGAGCTGAACAGCACAATTCACAACAGGTGTATGATCCATTTCCATGTTTGATTATAACCGGTGTTCAATCAGTCCTCCCCATCATTCGTTTTGTGTTCTGAAAGGAGAATAGGACACCTAACAATTGCTCAACATGACCCTGCAACTGCAAGGCTTCAACAGCTAACACTTAAATGTGTCATTCTCAGGTTCGTAACCTCCTCTACACGGTGAAGGCTTATCCGGACTTCAATCTCGATTCACGTTTTGCTCAGCAAGCCAAGGAGATAGCTGATGCCATAGAAAACAACCAAACAAGGAATGCAAACTACCTCTCAGAGAAGATGGTGTTGGACTACGGTACCCATGTGATCACCAGTGTTGACGCTGGGGCAACGTTGCTGGAGGACGACTACTTGCGTTCCTCTTACGTGTTGGACAATGCATCGCAAGGTTCTGCCATCAAAGCCTCGGCCGGCTTAAACTTTTTTGACAAAGTCAAATTTGACATAAGCAGCCAAAGCGCCCAGCAGAGCTCGTCATTGCAGACATATCAGGCAAACATTCAATATTCTCTCATTCAAAGTCACGGCGGGATACCTTTCTACCCGGGCATCACTCTGCAAAAGTGGCAGGAAAGTACCAGAAACAACCTGGTTGCGGTTGATCGTTCAGGATTAGCCCTGCCCTACTTCATCAATGTCAACACCATCCCCGATCTGCCGCAACCTACTGTTAACAAAGTCGCCAAATTGCTGACCAAAGCCATCGAGCGCTATTACATGATCAACACTCGCCCCGGCTGCGTCGACGTCAACTCCCAGAACTTCAACTTCCAAGCCAACGTCGACGACGCTTCGTGTGACGGCCCCGCGACAAACCTCAGTTTCGGCGGTGTCTACCAAGAGTGTATTCCCATCTCCCAAAATACAGGCCCGCTGTGTGAAGCCCTGGCCCAGAAAAACCCAGACACAGGTGCTTTTTCCTGTCGGCCGCCTTACTCGCCGACGTTACTGAGATCAGAGGTGAGACAGCAAGCTTACTCCGTGCGCGAATGTCACGACGAGACATACCGATGCGGGGCCTTTCATTGGTACCACTGCCATCGTCAAGTGTGTGGGGACAACTCGTATGTCCGCTCGGCTCGCATAAACACCTATTGGTGTTCCGTCAGTGGCAATGCGCCGGAAAACTCCGGGTATCTCTTCGGAGGGATGTATAGCCCCTCCCTCATGAACCCCATCACCAACTCTAAAACCTGCCCAGAAACCTTTTTGCCCCTAAAGTTCCTCTCAGACGGTCAAGTGATCTGTTTAAGTAAGGATTTTGAAAGTGGCACCAAATACGCTGTACCGTTCGCGGGTCTCTTCAGCTGTGAGTCAAACAACCCCATGGCGGGGCAACGACGTCGCTGCCCCGCTAAGTTCAGTCAACACCTCGCCGCTGTCAGCGATGGCTGTGAAATCCTTTACTGCGTCCAGTCGGGATTATTCACAGGTGGGCAGCTGCTTCCGATCCACCTCCCTCCTTTCACGAGGGCGCCGGTGCTTACCGTAAAAGCCACCAACACGGTGATGGTGATGACAGAGGGTGAAAGCAACTGGGTACGAGTCGGAAACACAAAGTCATGGAAACTGGCGGACCCCGACGACATTCAGGAGATTTTAAGAAAGTTCAACCCGAACCAGAGTCAGATGTCCGACGGAGAAAAGGCAGGGGTAGCATTTGGCGTGTTAGCCATGATGGCCCTGGTAGTCGTGGGAGTCGTGGTCTTACTTAAAAGAAGACAAAAGCTGTCTGGCATGACCTTAAGGAGAGGTTACACGGAAATACGACGAGCGGGTGATGAAGAGGAGCGAGCGATTCTGCAAGAGAACAATTGAATTCTCCAGAAAAGTGACGAATGTGGTCTGACAGCTTTCATTTTTTGTTGACGAATAATGTAATAGCATGATTCAAATGTTTAATCATGGAGCATGTAGGCTTGAAATGTTATGTACGAGGAATCAAGAGAGTAAAAATTGCATTTGAATGTTCAGTGGCACCTTAATTTACGAGTTTTATTTGTTTGTGAGCAGTAAAAAAAACAAACAAAAAAAAAAACAAAAAACACTTGCATTTTAAGTAACATGTTTTTAGAAGAAGAAAATTAGGATGGTCCAGTATTGTACCGCATAAAGAAATACGGTCATAATAAAAAATGACTGTTTACTTTTTCCTGACATCAAACTTTTTTTTTGTACTTCACTTTCACTCAACTTAATGTCAAACTGTTTGAAAGTGCTCTATAAATACAGTTGAGTTGAGTTGAGAAACCAATTAAAGCATGCTTTCTTCACCTTCAGTGGCTTTTCTTTTTCTTGGACAGAGGTGCGCAATTTCTAAACCGCATTGCCCCTGGCAGCCTTCATTGAACCCTTTTGTTTTCATATAGAACAGAGGTGACAAACTCAAGGCCCGGGGGCCAGATCTGGCCCGCCACATGATTTTATGTGGCCCGCGAATGCAACTCAAACATGTCACCTTCCATGATGCTTGCTGAAATCTCTACGAAAATTTAAAATTCTCATAAGAGACATATTGTGAGCATTTCTTGTAACCAAAACTCTCATTACAGTAACAAACAATAGTTGAATAAACAGTTAGAGTTTTTTTTTCTTTTTTGGTTTCAGTCACAACGGCCCTCCAAGGGTAACGGTTACTAAATTGTGGACCACGACAAAAATGACTGACACCCCTGGTATAGAACATTCATAGAACTATGTCACACATCTCACTCATCTTCTCAGCACCCACTTTATTTGTACCCATGGTTAGATTATGATTATTTTAGGGTGACAAGATCGGCAGAAAACAATGACCGATAATTGTGAGTTAACCATATGACACTGATAGTTGACACTACTGTGGGAACAAATATGTACACTTTTAAACCTCTAACAAGCTGAACTTGTAACGTAAAAATGTACGCGATGTGTGAATATGTAATTTAAAAAAATAGACAACTGAAATGTAAACACATTTCGTAAAATACATTTAGGATAATTTAATGCAATAAAGGCCATTTGGGATGGGGTTGCATTTATGTTTCATATGTCCAATTTCCCTAAAGAAAATCATGAAGGGCAACCGAAAAACAAAGATCGACAAAAATGAACCAGCACGACAGGATCCAAGAAATGTTACGTGCTACAGCACGTTTAAAGTTTGATCAAGCATATATAATATATTTTGGGAGTAATTCACACTGTCCAAGTATGCATGAATGAAAAATGGCCACTCTATTTTGAAGACTGCACCCTGGAAATGACAAGCTGAACACCGCAAGTACCATTTTGCCGGAGACGACGCCGCCTTGCAGTGGAGAGCCATTTTTTTAACTTCCTGTGGGTTTGGTGACCCAAAAAACACTGACATTCTATCCTCATGCAAAAATAGACATTGGCAGAAGTAACCTCAATGTTATGGTAAGGCTATCAGCACACAGACAGGCAGGCTTAGACGCTGTATGCACAAAAGAGCACATACAAAAACCCATGAGACAATCCCCTTGCACACACACATCCATTTCCAGTAAATGTCTGGTTGTGCATCTTGCTCCCGTGAGAATAAAAGACTCACCATCCCCCCACCGGGTTGGGAGGGAATAGATGGCGATCTTGAACATGAAAACAAACCGGCTCATGCTGAGGAAATTGGAACAGCCTTAAGCGGTCGAGAGAGCAAGAGCGAGAGAGCAAAAAAACAGACAGACAAGAAAAGCCCTGAGCCATGAATTCAGTCCTTGGTGTTTTTCAAACACTGAATCGCAGACAAAAGGTGAGCCGCTAAACAGATTCGCTGCCAGTCTGCAGCAGGACCAAGCGCTGACGCTGTCCCTTTGGTGGTTGAAGCCATCGAGGTTTTGAAGACAAAGCAAAACCTTTTAAGGGGAATTTCTGCATCCTTTCGACCATAGGGGGGAAAAAAAACCAACATTAAGGTGAAGACCCAATCCTAGGTAAGTGCTGACTTTCCCTTTAAGTACCATGTCTTGAAAAACATGTTTTCAACAACATCTGTGGTCAGATTAAAAACTCCAGCTGTTCAATCTGGAATGCCTAAAAGCTAATGTGTTGCATGTTTCCAGACACTTCACTGAATACCAATTCCTGTGACAACGAGGTCACCATGCCGGGATTGCCGAGAAGTAGCTTTGTCTCATTGCTATTGGCATTGCCAGTCATCCTGGAGACGGGCACGGTCCGGGCGTGTCGCCTTGGCTCGCCGACCCAGTGCGAGAAAGCACCCTTTGTACCCGGCTATAACCTGGCTGGGGAGGGTTTTGATGTGGTGCGGTTGAGACGGACGGGGGCGTATGTCATTAACGTCAAGGGTCAGCTGGCTGAGAACCACACGTGCACACTGTGTCCGAACCGCTTCCACAAAGGACAGGTGATGACTGGTGATTCTACGCTCGACATGAAGTGGTTTGTTTCAAACTGTCCCCCCCCCCCACCACCCCCACCCCATCCTCAGATTCAGAGGCTCCCGGCTGCTGTGCTTGACTGGCGCCCCTTCAGCCGTTGCAGCAAGCAGCTTTCGAGTGCCCTCCACCACTCTGTGGATTCACTGTTGCGTAGCTCCAACTCACTGGTGAACAACAACTGGAGCGTGGGTTTGAGCCTCGATACATATGGCAAGGTCGTGCTGGGAGGGAGCCGCTCGGATTTGGCCAAGTTCGCTCGTTCGCAGCACAGCGTGGACAAGGCCACTTTCGCCATACATGAAATCAGCTGCACGTACTACAGGTAAAAGAACGGACACCGACCACGTCATCACGGGGTGGAAGTTACGTTGAACTGCAAAGCTTCGGGCGAAAATGATTCAATGCTTCAGCTGCAAGTTTTTGCTGGATTTCTCCACACAAGAGTGACAAAAGCCAATGCGACATTATCATTTGACGTGTAACTACAAGCAGCACACAGTTGGGTGTTGACCAAAATTTACTGAACTACAGCACTGTAGACTAGATTCAAGAAAAAAATGTCTTATATGTACACAATGATCTCTCGCTTTTCGTGGTTAATGGGGACCAGAACCCCTCGCGAAAGAGGAAAATCCGCAAAGTAGGTACCCCCCCCGTACAGGTATATGTCCATGTGTATAAGTACAGTATATATATTATTTATAAGGCTAAATTTAATGGTATACATGCACATATAAGTACATGTTTGTAGTAATTAACATTACTGTTATATACTAATATTTATACATACATGTATAAGATGTATAAATTAGGTTAGAGGTTAGTGTATAAATAACAAAATACAGTAAATATAAACATGTAGTACTGTATATGTTGCTTTATGTGACTCGCTGTCGTTTTGCTGGCTTTCGCTGCCGCTCGTGGACCTTTTGCGGCATTTTTGCAATTTTTTTTGCGATGAATATCTGAAAAATTCGTGATGCACTGAAACTGCGATAAATGAACTGCGAAGTAGCGAGGGATCACTATATGCATATATATATATATATATATATATATATATATATATATATATATATATATATATATATATATATATATATATATATATATATATATATATATATATATATATATATATATATATATATATATATATATATATATATATATATATATATATATATATATATATATATATATATTTTAATACAACAGGAAAAAAAAAGACAAGCCAACAAGATTGAAAGCATTCCCCAAAGAACCCGACTACCCACGGGGACCAAAACAGCCATTCTCGGGAATGTTAACCTCCTATTGCTCATTTTGTTTCAGCTACAGACTGGCCGATCACCCCCAACTGAGCACAGAGTTCACCAAGCATCTGAACAGACTCCCGCGGGACCTCGTGACAAGCCACAACAGAGCCCTGTACAGACGGCTCATCGACACCTACGGAACGCATTACATTTACCAGGTCAGATGCAGATAAGCGCGTACAGTCGGTGGCTTTGCTCACGGGAATCATGCGGCGACTTAACTTTGTTCGATTCCATCTCCGAGGTTCAACTTGGTGGAAAAGTGAGGCGAATCACAGCCTTTCGGACCTGCCTGGCCACCTTGAAGGGCTTTACCGAGACGGAGATCAAAAAGTGCCTGAATGCCGAACTGCGCATGGCCTTGGGATTCCTCCCTGCCAACGCTTCCTTCTCCAACAAGTGTGACGGGCTCATGAAGGGCAACATGAGCATGGGCTTCTATCAAGGCTTCATGACTCATAAGATCGAGGTCATTGGCGGGGAGAAATACTTTCCGGACATCCTCTACCAGCAGGACCCCTCCGACGCCTACCACAGCTGGATGAACAGCCTCCAAGACAACCCAGATGTGGTGTCCTACGGGATTTTCCCCCTGCACCATCTGGTCGAGGACACTCAGCTCAGCGCAAACCTAAGGGAACTCATCTCAGAGTATATCCGAGAGAACAAGCTTCAGGAGGACCAGCTGGGTTTCAAGAACTGCTCCCCAACACCCAATTTGGACCACAACTGCTGCCCCCTGCGGGCCGGCCGTGGATCGCTCAAACTGGAAATCCACAGAGCCGCTGGCCTCAAGGCCGACACCTTCACCAAAACGGACGCCTACGTGAAGATTTTCTACAACGGCATGTACGAGGAGACGGGAACGGTGATGGACGACAACAACCCGGTATGGAATGTGACTTATTACTTCAGCTCGGTGGAGGTCGGGCAGGAGTTGAGGTTTGAAGTCTGGGACAGAGATGTTCTTTACAACGACCAGGCCGGCGTTTGTATCGTCTTTCCCGAGCAAGGAACTCGTTCTTTGAGCTGCCAGCTGAGCAAAGGAGTCCTTTACTTTTCATATAGCATCAAGTGCGATGCTCACTTGTCGGGCTTCAGGTGTGGACGGTACTCTCCCACTGCGGAATAGTTCAGACCTGATTCAATTCTTCTGGTTTACTTCATGGTAAGGTCTTCTTTTAGAATTAGTCAGATTTTTTTTTGTCAGCAAGGCGCCCCTGCAAAATTTACTTCAGCAAAATCTTATTGCAGCCAAAGGAGATTCGAGTTTGTTTTGAAAAACAGACATTACCAGGATCATTGTGTGAAGGCCAAGGCCATATTGATGCCCTTTCATACCTTGTACTTTACACCTACTTTGATTTTATAATCCTATTATCTAGCGCTTTGATATCATGTTCTCGATGACCATGATTTTGACGATAAATAAATAAACGTGTTGTGGATGCAATAACATTTGTCGTGGCGTGTTTTACTTTCGAGACGTGACATAAATGGGGTAAAAATGGCCGACAATGTTTAAATTCTCACTGAGGGGTGAACAATTGGGAAGTGTTTTCCAATGGCGGCGATTGTTGCGTTCGCGTCAGGATTCGTTCAAGGTCGCAAATGTTCAAACGGTTGCCAGATTATTCGTCTGTATTTTTCTTGTCGCAAGGGAATTTTGAACATGTTCAAAAGAACTTTTGGCGAAAAGTCTTGCTGAACAGTGGTATCGGAGCCTTCATACGAACTGGCTTGTCGGGGTCATTCTTGTAAAATGTCGTCACTCTTATATCACCTATTTCACCAACCTTACCTCAAAGAGCAAGTATGGGGGGGAAAAAAAATCCGTGGTTTAAGTTCCTTTGTACAGCTCCACAAATAGTCATGTCATTTACCCGAACATTGTTTCATTTATTAAAGGTAACAAATTCAAAGTACACATAAAAAGTACATCCAAATATGCATGTGCACAACCTACACCTTTTCAAATGCTGTAAAGGTAACGCTTAGATCATATTAGGAAATCATACAGTACGAGGATGTAGCAGCTGCTTCCAAGACTCTTCCAAAGCCTCCAATGCATGGCCACATTTTCAGAAATATGTTCAGCAGAACTCTCATTCTCAACGCATCACCCATCGGGGCAACTTTGACACTTTTCAATTCAGCAATGGCACTAAAAAGGAACAAGCCTGTTTTTCTTTTTGCAAATATTTCAGTGACTTTAAAATGAAACTACCATTATAAACAGTGTGGTAATGTAACTGAGTAAAATTTTTGTTGACAACAGCCCAAACTATCTTTTTAGAAATGGACTATAGACAGTGCAAAGAAACATCGCTATGCGCGGCAGTGGAAATCTTATGGGCTAAGAAACATTATGGTTTGCTGAAATTTGTGTTAATTGCTCAAGAAATATCTCCTGTGTCCTGGGAATATCTTGCTTGATGATAGTGTATGTAGTTCAGCTCCCATAAATTTGCAAAGTCACCAACAGCTGTTATAAAAAGGTTTGGTCTCCAGAATATCAAGATTCGATGGTGCCTTCCAACAAAGGCCGCATGACGCTCAGTTTGGTCTGACTGCATGACACCGGTGAGGTACACGACATCAGAGGCACAATGCTTGTTTAGCCTTCACTGCATGTGTTGATAGCACTCATAAAATGTGTTTCAGGCACAGCTATCAGTCCACAGAGGAAAGCAAAATCCTCTCTTTTTTTTTTTTTTTTAAAGGTGGTCAGCAGTTTTTGTCTTGAGTTTCACTGCGTCTTTAGTCAAATCCCAGCCCTGCCCTCAGTGAACTAAGTAACAATTTTTTTAAAATTTCACCTCAAGTTTCAAGTTTTATGTGACTGAATATCACAGTCCCAGTGACGCTTTGAGCAAAGATGCCATATCTTCAGGTATGGTCCCTTCATCACCTAAAATAAAACAACATTGTTTTCATCACTTCAATTCATGTTGGAATGATAACGTGTGAACAGCAACATGCCATGAAAATCAGAGATGACTGGTGCTTGTGGAAATCAAAATTCTGCACGTTTCGAAAAGCACCACTTTCAATGGCGAGAGCAAAACACGAATCCAATTACAGCACTTCATTCACAATTTCACCGTTTGTTATGAGTAGACCATTTCCTAAAATAGTGTCATCTGTTAGAGGCAAGGCATTTCTCGAGGTCTTTGTTGATACAAGTGCATTTTTATGATCAAATCTATACAAGCTGACATGGTCACTGAGTCACAGGTGTTGCTTTCCTAAGTAACGAAGGGTTCGGTGAATGAAACTCATGGGGTTGAGTCCCTCCAATAAGGTTAAAAAAATACAATAAAAACACTGCTCTAGAGGTTTATTCACGTCTATTGGAGGCCACTATTTGAGGAAAATTTGTATTTTGAGACATCCTTCTGATTGTAGTGACACCATAGAAATGCAAGCAAAAATGTGTGTGTGTGTGTGTGTGTGTGTGTGTGTGTGTGTGTGTGTGTGTGTGGATGCACTTTTCCTTACTCTGTTCAGCAGCTGTCATGTCCTGCTCCAGTTTGAGTTTCTTCTGGCTCAGCTGCAGTATAGCGTCCTCAATGCTATCTTTACTGATCAGCTTGATGACCTGGACAGTCCTAACACACAAATCAGGAAGGTGGCATTGAGTGTTTTTCACCCCTTAAATTGTTATAAACAGAATGGCAGAAGTGTTCAATTCTGTAAAACGATTCCTTGTCCTAATGACTTCAAAGTCATCATTTCAATGAAGAACTTGTGGATTTGTGTGTCCCGGCTGCATGACAGTGTCGAGTCAAGTGGACTGCTGCCGTATTGAAATCATTAATGGTAGACATTGGACTTAACAGTTGTAGAGATCTAGATTTCTTTCACAAAGATATTCCACACAACTTTAAAACTGTATAATTGTGGACAATGTATTGGTGTTAACAGAGTTACGCTTTCTAAAATGTGCATGGGGGAGGGGAAAAAATATGCATTGCAGTGCTTGCTGGAGGATTTTGTTAGCCTGGAATTTTAGACTCAACACTGTACCAGCAATTGAGTCTGGTCAGTCACATCAAGACAAGGCAAACCTGAACAAACAGACAATGGAATGAACCACAGAAGAGTGGATGTGACGTCAGGAAGAAAAAAAAAATTACTTGTGTGTTGAATGTTGTGATCCACCGTACCTGGTCTGACCCAATCGATGGCAGCGGTCCTCAGCCTGCTTATCATTGTAGGGGTTCCAATCAATGTCGTGCAGGATGACGACGTTTGCTGACGTGAGGTTGATGCCGAGGCCACCCGCGCGGGTCGAAAGCAGGAATACAAATATGTCGGCGTCGTCGTTGAACTCGTCGATCAGCACAATTCTGCGGAGGACGAGAAGGCATCAAAATCACGAAACGCATCAGATGGAACATGATTTCAAACTAATCGGCTCCGAAAAGCGTGTGAGCTGACCTGTCTGCTATTGGCGTGGAGCCGTCCATTCGAATGTAACGATGCTTGAGGTGTTTCATCAGTTCCTCGACGATGTCCAGCACCATGACGAACTGACTGAATAGAACAACTCTGTCTCCCTGTGCATTTTGACAAACAAAGTGAGGATGCATTTAAACCACCAAATGTGTGATCGGCTCACACGCACAAATGAGATACACGACCATGAATGCACGAAGTGCGGAAGTCTCAAAGTCAGAGCAGAGTTAAATCGCAATGTTTCGGAATTTTGCATTGGAACCTTGTCTTTGAGTGACGCCAGCTTCTCCGTCAGCCAGTGGAACTTCCCAGAATCGAGGAGCAGACTGTTGTCCAGCTGATAGGAGCCGATGGATGAGTATTGCTGACACAAACGATGCAGCTCAAAGTCAGACATCGCCTCCATGTCCTCTTGGATCAACGCAGCATTTGCATCGTGGTGAGTCGGCTCCTGACAAAAAAAACCCGGCATCTTATTCTTGATGTACGTGAATCAGTGCTGTAGAACAAATTAGATCAGATGTCTAACTTTTCTTGATTTTTTTTTTTTAACTGAATAAAGTTACCTTGAGCATGAGTTTGCTCATGGCCGTCAGCTTCTCTGTCGTGTAGTACTGTCGATGTAGCAGAGGGTGGTTGGCCATCTTTCTTAACTGCATCAGGACGTTAGACAACTCGCGCTCTGCACGGACAAAAAAAAAAAAAAAAAAAAAAGTCAGATATGAATGATCCAAAGTTCCTACATATGAGCTTTCATAATTCTGTACTACTACAGACCCCAATGTAAAATGTTAAATATTTGTTTCATTTTAATATATAGAGGTGCACTATTCTCATTATTGGTCAGAAAAAAAAAAGTGGTATCGAACATCCCCAGTGAAGACAGCTTACTGTCGCTGCGTTTGGAAGCTTTGAGTTTTTTCAAGAGGGTCTGGTAGAGAACCTGCTGCTTTTCACTCATGGAACAGAACTCAACCTTTTCTTCCTTTTCAGGTAGTTGCTTGAGGACCTAGAAATGAGATGAGTGGAAAATATGAATCGATTGTCTTTTGGTGTGTACCCAACCCAAGAACATGGAAGCTCCCAAGGCGCGGAAGTAATATAAACCTAAACTGAGGACCCCCTGTGCTGTTTCTTCTATGACTCTGCTGACTGAATAAAAACGTTAGTATTTTCCACCAGATGAAGTATGATCCATTTTCATGGGATGCCACCGGAAAATATGCTAAACAATGTAGATTCAGAACGGAGCGACTCACATCACTCTTAATTCTTCGAAGGATGAAAGGTTTCATAATGCGTTTGGCCTGAGAGATGCGCTCTCTCTCGAATTGACTCCGATCCTCCTGGGACTTCTACAGAAAACAAAAGGGGTGGAAGACATAGACATCACTGATGTCATTTAAAAGTATGATGTTATGAATACAATTATTTGCAGAATTCCATGCTGTATTCGCCAAGACACACGATACAGACTATTACAACACTAAGGTTCCACCTTTATGTCCCAAAAATATTTTCAGTGAAGCCCCACCGATTTGTGATTCACAATTCATAAATTCAGCTATACTCTCTTGAACAGTGTTTTTCAAACCCTGTGCCGTGGAACACCAGTGTGCCGCGGGAAAATATTCAATTTGTTTGCCTGTGCGGACGATCGCCCAGAAAGTAATCATGTAGTACCCTCTCATACCGCTAGAGAGCAGCAACAGCTAGCCAATTGCCTTGCGTTTAGCCTACAGACAAGCGAATTTGTGACGCGTGAATGCAGAATGACGGTGAAACAATAAATATGAAAGATTATAAAATACTTTTTTCTTTGTGTTCATTTGATTCCAATTCAAGCTGTTAGAACGTCATTCTTCAACGTAAAAAACGGTTATAGGAACAATATAACACGTTAATTGTTAAAATAAGCGTTTTTTTCACACTTGCAGCTAGTGATGTGCCGCGAGATTTTTTCAATGAAAGAAGTTTGCCTTGGCTCAAAAAAGTTTGAAAAACACTGCTCAAGAAAATATCCTTCGCTATTTGCAGAAAAACACACCTATTCCTGGTTTTGTGCTCTTTCAATAGCACTTGAAGATGACACATGGTAGCACCAAAGCTCTGACGAAAAGGAACTTGGTTGTTGATATATATATTTTTATCACTCGTTTAAATCATGTGTCATATGTTCATCATAGAGATGGATAAAAAAAAAAAAGTCATAGAAATACCATAGAAAACATCTTGGAGAGCTCTGTCGTGGAGCTCGAAAACATGGATGGCATGATGAAGTTGAGGAGCGACATCAGTTCTAAGAGGTTGTTTTGTAATGGTGTGCCAGTGAGCAGCAAGCGATGCTCCGCCTGAAAGGAGAAGAGACTCGTGTCAAGAACTCATGTGCGGCGATGGTGGCAGCTTTCGAGGCAAAATCGGTTCTTCAACTCTTCAGGTCCAGGTGCGCCTAAAAGGCGGGCAGGGCGCCCTCATCAGCCCAACATCAATAAAAGATTTATTTTCAAAAACAGACGCGTTTAATTGATGCTAAGAAACAGACAGCACGAGCAAAATCACTTTTTTTGCATATCGTATGACAAGAATGATGACCGGTGGAAGGGAATCACTGAGTCAATCACAGTGAAAATTGCCAAAGACAGGCTGGTCATTGGCAAGTTTCAAAGGCAGTGATTTAATGACATGTACAATTTTGACACTGGTATTTACTTCCAAGCTGAACATGCTTAGCCTTGCGTCAACTGTAAAGACCATAAAACTAAAGATGCTGTGTGTACGTATGGCTGTCAAATTTATGAGCTATGTCAGAAATGCTTCAGGATGGGTGTGAAAAAAATACATTTCTAAACCAAACTACACATGTTCCCCTGAGCATCCAACAGTTCTCGGCCAAGATGCACATCGCTGTGCCGTGGCAACCTCCTTTCTTACACGACCCGGCTCAGTGGAATGTTCTTTTTTTCACTTTGCAGAGCTCATGGGGTTCATCGTAGGGTATCTGTTTGGAGAACATGGGTGACATCAAGATGGCCGTGAGGATCCAGGAAGAATCCTACGAGTGCATCAAAGTGTGGCAGGGAAGGGAAGGCCGGGAAATTGCGCTTCACTACAGGTAGATAACTCCGAAGGGGAAACTTGTAGCAGTAGCTTGCATTTGAAATATAGCTTTTCTGACACCATTTATGTGATACTTGTGAAATCAGATGTCATAATCGAATGAAAATAATTTTGTGTGAAGCGCTGTCACCAAACACAGTGAACTCACATTGATCGACATGAGGTGGCGGTAGCGCAACGTGTTCATGTTCTTCAGCATGTGACCCTCGTCAAAGATGGCATACGCAAGATGAAGCTTGCGAAACAGACCGCGGTCATTGGGGTTCCCAATGGCAAAGTTGTACCTGTGGAGGAGGAAACAGAGTGTATGAGTGACATGTGTATAAAACGGGATTTTTTTTTTTTTGCAAACTGAGACACTAACGTGGTGACAAGGACGTTGAATTCAATGGCGTCATCGAGGATGTCGCGCTTGAGGTATTGGCGGTCCTCCGCAGAACCTGTACACAAACCAAAAGCACATTTTGTCTCTCAGGCTGTATCCGAATTATTCCCCAACTCTTCATATAGTCACGCACTGTATCGTCCGACCCCACTAGTCTAAACACGGCATTGTGATTAATATTGTGTTTTTGGAATATGAATTAAGCCGCAAAATCCACATGTTTTTATCCATCTCAGTTGGCAGCCATCGCAGTGCTTCGGCATCCGCGAATGACCAATCACGGCTCATCTGTTTTCTGGGTTTCCCGATGTGACGTCCGCAAGCGGAGCCCGAAAACGCGGCCACCCCCCAAGATGGAAAAAAACAGGTGGATTTTACGGCTGAATTCATATTCCACACACAATATCAATCAGAATTCCATCTTTTGACTCGTGGGTCCGCATCAAACTTTTTCACCTGACTTCACCGTTAAGCACAAACACAAATCAGTGAGCTACCCGCCAAACTGTTTGTGGATATGAAAAGGTTCAAAATGTCAAGCATCCTACCATAATACACTAAAACTTTAAGACGGGGACACCACATTTGTAGTTCTCTGACCCAGTTATCTGTAACACAAACAAAAACAAATGCACGATGGACAATCTGTGAATTTTGTGCAAATTCTGAAAAGAAATCTCCAGGATGAGTTGTGGAGCTCACTTCATGGATTCTGAATGTAACTCAGCTGTTTATTTTGATGACATAAAAAAATAACAGTACATGCCTGGATGAAAAATGGATATAATCAGAATCAAATCACTTTAGATGTTTCTAATTGTCAGACATTTGGCTAAGACAAAACAACATGTGAACATTTCGGGTGTTGATGTTACCAAGTGTAGAGGCAGGCACAATGATGAGGTGAGGAGCCTCTGTTCCATTCTGCAATAAATGGGCCAAGAAGGCAATAGCTTGGATGGTTTTCCCCAAACCCTGATTGGAGAAAGAGGCAGATTGGCATCATTTCATATCACCCGTCAAAACATTGACCAACTTCTAAGGGGGATGAAACAACAAACCGTCTTTCAAACAGACTTTGTTGTACATGTGATTGTTTTACAAAAACAACGGATGATTCAGATGGTCCTTGATGTACATAAAAGAACACAGTGAAGACAGCCTAATCACCTAATCATATTAAATAAACCTATAAAGACATTTATCATTTGACTCATTTCAGTGACTAAAACACCTCATACTAACGTATGGAATTGACATGGTAATGTCATTTAATTCACTTTACACCAGCATATGCACATCTTATTTATTTTTACTCTACGATTTGCCTCTTTTAGAGCTTGCATCTCACCATCTCATCGGCGAGGATACCGCTCAAGTTGTGCTCGTGCAAGAGCAGCAGCCATTTCAGACCGATCATCTGATAGGGTTTCAGCTGGAGCCTGGAGGACAAATGTGATCTGAATGACAGAGCAACGTGACAAGATTTTGTACATCTCAAGTGCATGACACTCACTGGCTATTGAGCAGCCTGGGCTGTAGCATTTCCCCCGTGCCAGCCTGCATCACTTCTGTGACCTGCTGAACCATCTTGGAGGAGATGGTCTCACATTTGGACATGAGGCCCTGAACAATGTTGCGCCCTTTCAGAACAGTTTTGCAGCCCAGCACTAGGTCCTCTGACAGCCCGTTGCTCTTTTGCATTTGGCTGGTCTTGAGAGTGAAAGAAGGGAGGGATGGTGTTAAGAGAAGAAATACAAACCGAGTTGGACCCGTCGCCGAACTTGGTTTTCATGGATGCAGACACATTGAGTAAAATATTTTTTAAATTCAACAATAACAGCAAACAACTGATATAAACCAAAACATCAGCAAGATTTTTGGGAGAAATCAGCTTTCATGGAAAACATATATTGAAGGCTAATCAGCAGTGATTTTTTTTTCCCTCTCCGATGCATTTCAATGCGGTGTCAATTATCAGCGGACCTCACACTTAGCGGGCCATCGCCGCCTCCAGCGAATAGCGGGGTTTAACTGTATTGTTTTTGTGTGCGTAAGTGTGTGTGTGTGTAACCGATTATTCCAAACATAATTTATCTCAATGGGTTACTTTATCTTGAAAGACGCAGGAGAGCTTGTGTTTGACCGTATTGTTTTCATTTCCCGTTATACTGAGGATAAACTTGTATATTGCTAGAAATAAATAGACTTGCTGGAAAGGTTCATTTATTTCAGTAGTTCTTTTCAAAAAGTGAAACTCAAGACAGACCAAAAAAAAAGGAGGGGGGTATTAAATTACAAATGATTTTGATTGCTTCGAGTGTAACATTAAAACTCCTTGAATCTGGGGTTGTCATGAACTCAAAGCTAAGATCCTCAAAATGACTGAAATCATTTGGTGTGTTGTGAAATAAGTTTCACTTTTTCCAACTACTGTACTGAAATAAATGAAGTTTTCCAGGTTCTTCTCATTTATTGTGATGCACCTGCATTATGAGGCACGCTGCATGCTAAGCACCGCAACCGCAAGATTTCTCACCAGGCTCAGCCAGTTTTTAAAGGGTCGAAGCTCGATGATCTTTTTGGCTTTTTTCACAGAACACCCAGAAATGAGCGCCAGCTCGTCGATGGTGGCCTCCTCAAAGAACTTGAGGATCTCTTCCTTCAAGCCTCCCATGTTTGTAAACTCATCATCGCAACTGTCACGGTCGCTGCTGTCCGCATCGTCTGCGTCGTCATCAGAGCTGAAGTGCTTTTCATTGGCGCGGGCTATCCGCTTTCGCTCTTCGGCTAGCTTCTTGGCCATACTGGTCCCGCTGGAAAACTTGGACAGCATCTGTGCGGCAGAGGACGGGGAGGAGCAGGATGGCTTCTGATAAGAAGTAGTTCTTTTGACAGAGGAGGACAAGTCTTTTGAAATCCATGTGGAGAGGGTGGAATTGGAATGTTTGATCTCCTCTTCAGCTGAATAGTCGTCGCTATCCACTGTATCCTCTGAGCTGTCGTGAGTATCATTCGCATGAAACGTTTCGCATTCCTTGGCATTCATTTTGTCGTCACAAGATCCAATCTGGTGCACTTTGCTTTGCTCCTTGACTGACTTCTCTTTGCACTTGGAATGGTGGGATTTATTTGGTGGGTATTCGTCACCGCTTAAGCTGACGTCATCTGTGAGACAAGCAAAAAAAAAAAAAAAAAGCAAAGGCTTCATCAGGTTAATACAATATGGCACTGGTGACAGATGCATGAGGACGTGTGAGAGGAGCTGTGTTGGGACCTGAGCCGGAGAACATTAGTAGAGCCTGCAGAGCCTCGGTGAAATCCCAATTGTGTTCCTGAAGCACCACCCGCAACTCCTTCAGTACGACAGACATCAGGGAAGTTTACATGAAAAACAAGCATCCATCAAGAAAAAAAAATATGCCTCCATATTTATTTGTTGACATTCGAAACTTCTCTTCATCAACAGCAACAAATTCTGAAAGCCGTATAACTCTGGTGAGAAAAAAAAATAGAACAGACAAGACATATTTCTTAAAAGCTTTTGCTGCAGCCAACGTTCAAAACAACAAAGGCCAAGTTACACACTGGTTTTTACAACCGTTCTAGTGCCACAAAAAATTGGCTCAAAAACCAAACAAATTGGAGGTTGACTCGTATTCTGGACTGATGGATGTGTCGTGTAACAAAGTATTTGACAATTTTGGCCTGTCTTTTTTTTTATTTCTTACCTCCTTGTCCTGATTGGGGAACTTGTTCTGTAGCCTTTTGACCATCACCTCCTGCTTCTCCCAACTCGGTTCGTCTCCACCATCCTGATCATCATCGTCAGTGTATTCCGCTTCATCTTCAGACACCTTTTGGTTTCAATGCCAGTGAGGCAAAGGGGGCAATTGTCAGGCCGGAGGACAAACTAGAAGGGGTTTAACGAGGAGTGTGCATCTCTCCACAAGACAATTTGATACAATCCAATATATTTGTTCCACTTGAAAATCTATCGAGATATGCATTGAATCGCCTTTAATTGGAGAGATACACAAGCCTACCAACGTGTAATTTCTTTCAAAAAAGCGATACTTGTAATAACTCACCTCTGATCGCTTCCTCCTTTTGTAGGGTTGAGTCTCACCGCTCTCCAATGACGTGTCAGATTCATCCTGCTTTCTCTTACTAACATATTCTGTGTCTGGAAAAACAGGCAGCGTTGACCAATGACACGACTTTATTGGTTGGCTGTGTTTCAACCAGTATTGAATATTACAGAAAATTATGATTTAAACTACCTATTAAAAATAAATAAATAAAATGCAGTGACTGCTCTACCAAGTTTGAAATTACACTGACAAAAAGTTATGGATATTTGGCTTTCAGGTGAAATTTCAGGACAAGCCGAAAGTGCTTTCAAACCTTTACAGGTGAACTTAATGTGATCTTCTCTAAGCTTTTGAACGCACATGTCTAACTTAAATATTTCAGTAGTTTTTGCACACGTTGCTGTTCTCTTAACAGGTTTACCGGCACAATCCACAAAAAGGCGTTTGATCCTTGAATCGACCAAAGTATGTCCTGGTTCGATTAAGAGCTGGTGTTGAAACCGTCATCCTCATCAGGCTGTTCACATTTTGACATCATGAGACCACAACGACACCGAACAATGGATCAAAAGTACCTTCCCATTGTGATGCTTCAAACGGGAAGTTCCAAGACGTCATCGTCTTGCACGTGGCAAGGAGCATTTACACTGGACGAGGCACCAGTGGGCCTCAGAGCTGTTCTCTGCCGATTCGCGTTGAGTAGAAATGGCTGCCAACGATGATGGAAAAGGCAAGGAGAGCGTGATGGATTAGCCACTGTTGTCACCAGACGAGGTTTTGGTGGTGGCGGAGTTACAGCGTGGGCGTGTCCAGTCGGTACAGAACTGATCTATACTTTGTGAATGGTACAATGACAAGGCCATACTACCTGAAGAACATTTCTAATCCAGTGATTGTGCCCCTACATGAACAACACGGGCCTAATTTCATTTTATGGATGACAATGCACTTGCTGACCGAGGTTGCATCATCAAGGAATGGCTGTTGGAGACTGGTGCACCTCAAATGGAATGGCCAGCAATTTCTCCAGACCTGATTCCTATTGAAAACCTGTGGGATCACCTGGGTCGCCGTGTAGTCTCAAAACTCTGCACCCCAGAACCTCAATGACCTGAGGGCTGCCCTCCAAGAAGAGTGGGATGCCATTTTTGTTGTGGTGTACCCACCGTTGTTGTTAACTTTTCTTTCAATTAATCGTTTGCGATGAGAAAATCACTAGTGCATCATTCAACTGAAATGTCCTAATTTCATGACATGATATCACTGGACGGTGAACTTTTTACATTTTCCATAAATGTCACCTTGAAAGCCAAATACCCCAAACCTTTTGTGAATAGTGTACAACCAAGTATCCGAGTATCATAAGAATTGTGTGCGATAATACTCCTTGTAAAGTCAGTGAGGTCAGAATCGTGCGAAGGCTTGAGAGGAATAGCCTAGAGGACATGGGTGGGTCTCCTCCTCCTGATCTTGCAGGAGAGTACTTTTTCCCTACTCTGAACAATCAACATACAGTATTTACCAAATATAGGTTACTAAGTCAGGTTTTTGTGCGTGTGTGTGTGTGTGTGTGTGTTACTGTTCGGCGTGATTTTTAAAAACCATACTTTCGGACAAAGATCAAACAACAAAACCCCTTGATCCTTGAGATATTTTGATATTGACACATACCGTCTGTACAAGTCTCCTTTACGTGTATTCATGGAGATGAAGTTTAGTGAATTTGTGGCCTTGCTATTGTCATTTTTACCCAGAAATAGTGGCATTGAAGAGATAAGCATGAGTACTGTTACTTTCATATTTTCTTTTAAAAATACCATTCGTATGTTGTTTAAATTGGGCTTGACTACTACTCTATTCATACCGTCGTCATCATCAGAAATCACCAGACAATCATCAACACTTCCATGCTGAGTGCTTGTACTTCCAACTACCTGCAAACACAATACAGTATCCTATTATACAGGCCCTTTTAAGGTTTTTTTTTTTTTTGTCCTCATCGGGGCACACAATAACATTGATCTACTATAAAAGATAAACTAGTCACTGACAATGTTCTTTCAAAAAACTAAAACTAAAACAAAAAACAAACAAACATGCCATTAATCTGAACTGTAGGATTTGTCAACTCACCCCTGATTGTTTCCTCCTTTGGTAGGGTTGAGTCTCCCCGCTCTCCAGTGAGCTGTCGGATACATCGAGTTTTCTCATCCCGACACAGTCGGTGTCTTGGGGAGAAAAAAAAAAAAAAAAAAAGATGATGCAGTGTTGACCAATGACGCAGCTTGACTAAAGCTGAAAATTCTGAGTGCTCAGGAGAGCAACAGCTTGTTGTCCTCCAGGCTGTTTATTGACACAGAATGAAAACCCAATGAAATACAAAATGCAATTTCTAAATGCCAATTTAATTGTTAAAGGCACCAAAATAAATAAATAAATAAATAAATAAAAAAATCCAAACCAACCTGTCCATATTCGTATGGACAGGTTAGTTTGGCAAATACACTTTCAGAACACTATATATTTTGTAAATTCTTAAATAAACAGGAGGATAAACCAGCAAACCACGAAAAACTGCGGTTACCCCTCCAAAAAAAGAAAAGAAAAAGCCAAAACATATTAATAATTTAAGAAACAATCGCGAATACAGTAGGTGAATTTGCAGGTGCTGAATCGCAAGTATGTTGGGGTCCACAATATAGTCATTGCAAATAACACATTGCATCTGTTCACTCTAAACTTTAGAAAACTCTCAGTATAATAGTGAACCCCTAAGTTTCATGCTCCACTTTTTAAAATATTTTCCTGCAAAAAGGTGTTTGCCGACACATATACAAAATACACATAGATGTAAGTAAAATCGGGATTGATGTACAACACTATTCATACCTTCATCATCAGAAATAAGAAGACACTTGGCAATAGCGCCATCCAGTGTGCTCGTACTCCCAACAACCTGTGAACACATCACAACGGACCCTACATTCACTTGATACAGGAGGTGAATATATAAAATGCTGCCTTTGCAAAGTTAATAATGCTCAGATTCAGACAACTTTAGGCATGGGCGGCTTTCGTACTTGGAAGGTATGATAACCTTAAGTAAAAATATTGCGAGTTCATGGTATGACGGTAATGCGATAAAAGCTCTCAATTAGACAGTGATCGCGTTTTGGGGGCATGAATTTGCATCCTCCCTGTGTCAAGATACGATGATTCAAAAACAGCAAACTTTTTTGACAAGGGGAAAAAGTTGTGGGGCTCATTGACTGCTGGCATCAAAAACGGTGGAGGTCAGGGTCATATCACATTGCTTGCACTGACGACTTAACAAAAATGCTCCTACGTATTATGGAACGTTTGTGGTTTTGAAATGTTGATTTTTTAATTTTTTTATTTTATATATTTTTTAATCACGTTCCTACCTACTTCCAGTAAGACATCACTCACCTCTGAGAGCTTTTTCCTTGACAAATGAGGGAACATCTCGGAGAGTCTTAACTCTTTTTGACTTTTTTCCTCTTCGTTTTCATCATTTGAAGACTGTTTGAAAATAGGATCCCTGGAATGGCAAAGACAACATAGGCTAAGTAAATTAGCTACAGGAACTTAAAAAAACCCAAAAAAAAAAAAAAAAAAAATCAATAAGTGTATGTCATCAACCTTGATTTCCTTGAGAAGGAGACTTTCCTCAGCGGGTGGTCATCGTCAGAGACGTCTTCAAAAACCACTCCTCGGGCATGCGACTTTGACGAATGGGAATTATTGGATTTCATTTGAGCTAGTGGACAAGATTAGATGAAATCACAAAAACAAATCAAGAGTTCTTCAGTGATGATCACAAATTCATTTTTTTTTTAAAATCTTGTTGAGAAAACAAGTCTTTGAAGCGCTTGTCACAAGACTGCTTGTCAAGTATCAAGTACAACTTTATTGTCTAATGTGCTGTATGTCATGACATTCCTCCCAATCAAAATCAGTGCTGGTACACGCGTGCCGCCGAGAAGGCGCACCCACCAAGCACAGATGTCGACACCGGTGTGAAATTCATTCTGTTTGCGAAAACAAAACTATTGTTCCAATTTTCTGCTTCAATTTACATGTCCTATCCTTTTCTTTCATTCAAAAAGAAATACAGAATAACTAAATAAAAATTGTGGTTGTCTCACTACATGCCGTTTTTTTAATTTTCGATTTAACCAGTTTAGTAAGGTTGCCTCTTGTAAGTTAATTGCCTCCAATTATTTTTTTTTCTCATCTGCAAGCATACACGGGTGGGGTGAGAATGGTACACAGAAATGGGAGAGAGGGAGCAAGAGGAAAGAGACACGATCCAAACATGGATGCATTTTTGTTCTGTTGATTTGATTTTCATTGTCCAAAAAAAAAAAAGAAGGAAAACATGCTACCATCAGGTACTAGTTGGCCCCTAGGACAACATAAGCAGCCAATGGCACTGCTCTAAAAATAGCTCACCAGTGATAGGACACTGTGACTTAAGAAGAGAAGAATTAAAACAGAAGAATGTTGATAATGTATTGTTTTAAAAAATAAAATGGTACACATTCCTTCTGTTACAAATACACAAGACTTTGTTTACAACTGAAATTGACTGTGTTGAATGGAAAGATGAAATGCTTTATTATAATGATTTTACAGCTGAAATTTTAACACTGTGGTATTTTTGCTCAGTTATACAGTCAGGAGCTAATATTGGCTCGTAGCTAGTATGCACCGACCCAAACAATCGGTAAGTCTGTACCTCCGACGTCCTGACAGGTGCATGATTTACTGACAGGCTGATAACCGTAGAAGGATGCGCTTATGTATTTAGCCAACATTGCTCATTTACATCAAAGGGAGACTGTGTTAACTTCCAACACGTGAGCCATTGGCATAGCAAAAAGGTTTAAATACAGTACCACCGCCTATGTCACAAGTGAATCGCTACACTAGCTACTTTCAAGTACTAATCACGCTAACGCTGATGGAATCATTCTTTGCACATCTGGTAAAGAGCTCAGGTTTTGAGTTAGCCCCGAACATCAGTTTACTCACCCGGCTTATTCTCCTTCTCGGACTCGGGGGTCACTTTGCATGCTGGCGACTTTTGAAAACGGAAACGTTCCAGGTTGTATTGGCTCATCTTGGCCGGGCTATCTCATGTCTGGTTGCGGGAAGCCTTATGTCCGACTCCGGTTCTTACAGATATATATATATTTTTTGCTCGCCGGCACGCGCGGCTCAACTTTTTTTCTTGGCTCCTCGACCTGACAGTAAAGAGCACCGGCTCAAAATAGTCTTGAGATTCGAGAAAGACGACGCCGGTAGGTCGTTTTTAAAAACGCCGACGTATGCTAGCTAGAATGTGGTTGTAGTTTAGTAGCATGGTGGCTATGTAACGAAACGAAATAGCTTGGAGAGGCCGAAGACTACCGGTTTCCCGCTAAAGCAGCTGTGTTGTAGCACGATTGAGCCCTGTGATTGGCTAAAGGAGCGAGTGGGCGGGAACTCACGAGTCCCGTGTGGTTAGCTTGCCCTATGAAAATACCGGCACTGTCTGTACGGTACTCTATCTATCTATCAATCTATCAATCTATCTATCTATCTATCTATCTATCTATCTATCTATCTATCTATCTATCTATCTATCCATCCATCCATCCATCTCTAGCTATGTTTTATAGATACTGCTATCACTGTGTATACTGTATTTCTACAAGCGGCTCTTTACTATGCAAATAAAGGGTGAGCAAGCCCTCTCATTGGACGAAAAGATCAGATGTGCGTGAATCACAAGGAAGTCCAGCGTGCTTTATTTTGTGATATATTTATGAAAGTAAATTACTATTACTTTGTAGAAATATTTTTTCCGAACGAGTGGTTATGCCATTATCGACAAAAGAGGCCTGGCCAATGGGAGGGGCAGAAAACGACGAAGGGGGTCAAGACGGTCCCTTAGGTCTCACTTCCGCTTTGGCTCCAGTGTCTTTTAGCCAAAAATAAAACCGGAACTACTGTGTAAATTTTCTCTAACTTTTATGTGCAAATGTAAATTATAATTACCTTGTATGTATTTGGTTCTGTGGGTCATACTCTGTGGTAAGACGCAGTTGGATCGAGTTAGTTTACAAATACACAAATAAATCGATTATTTCTAAATTACCCACCTTTCAACGATAATTTTGTGTAGAGAAAATATATATATTAATGTTTTATGTTTTTTTTTTTTTTATTGTGGGTTATATAATTAATTTATCCGTTTATATCTAATTACAGCTGAGTTTTTCCCCCACTGGAACGCTATTAAATCTACTGCGTCACCTATGTTGTCCACTAGATGTCATACTCTGATGACAAGGGCTGCACGTGAATAAAAAACGGTGACTGACTTTAACTCACATGCAGTACGAAAGGCTCTCACACTCTACTGAAATCCTCTCACATGTAGAAGTGAAATACTTTTACACATATTAATGAAATAGACTCCGCTAATACACTGGAATGCACTCAAATAACACTGAAATGTTATATATATTTTTTTCAGTCACTATTCAAATTCTTTGTGAATGTTATTTCCTGACTTGTTTGCTCAAAGAACCAGGCTGCAACCCCCTTTTTTTTCTTTCACAGAAAAAGTCAAAATTTCAGGAATCAAAGTCCTATATTTTATATTGTGTGGGAGAAATGTATACATTTTTCACAAAACTATAATTTTTGGGGGGTAAAATGTATTGGCTTTTTTGGAAAAAAGCAGCATAATTTAAAAAAATAAAGTTGGATATTTTGGAGAAAAAAAAAAAGATTGTGTGACTTTCCAAGTGGGAGTTTAACAATAGGCTATAACTCTAGGGTTCACAAAGACATGTTCAGTGTGAATCCCCAACCAGTCAAAAGTGATAAATAATCCTTATTTATGGGTGTCTTGGTCAAAGTCAAAGTCAAAAGTTTATGGAAATCATCTAATCGTGTTTTGTACTGCATTCATATCTTGGTGCACACACTGTCCACTTCTCCTTGCTCATACAGTGCATATATTAGGATGATAATGCTGGATGCTCACATCAGTGCAGCACCACCGTGTCGCCCTACTGTCGCCCCCATCATTGTCATGGAGACGCTGTAAGTTATAACGGTGTGTGTGTGTGTGTGTGTGTGTGTGTGTGTGTGT